AGGCAACCTACAGAATGGGAGAAAATATTTGCAAACCACACATCTGATAAAGGGCTGATAGTTCCTTAGTTGTCTAAGGAACTCAGACAACTTTAATAACAACAACAACAACATAATAATAATAACAATAGAATTTTAAAAATGGACAAAGGACCTGATAGACATTTTTCCAAAGAAGATATTCAAATGGCCAATAGGTACATGAAAAGGTGCTCAACATCACTGATCAGGGAAATGCAAATCAAAATCACAATGAGATACCATTTCATACCTGTTAGAATGGCTATTATCAAAAAGACAAAAGATAACAAGTGCTGGTGAGGATGTGGAGAAAAGGGAACCCTTGTGCACTGTTGGTGGGAGTGTAAACTGGTGTGGCCACTGTGGAAAACAGTATGAAGGTTCCTCAAGAAACTGAAAACAGAACTACCACATGATCCAGCAATTCCACTTCTGGGTACATATCCAGAGGAAACAAGGATCACTATCTTGAAGAGACCTCTACACCCTTTACACTATTTATAATAGCCAAGACATAGAAACAACCAAAGTGTTCATTAACAGATGAATGGATAAAGAAGATGTGGTACATATACACAATGGAATATCATTTGGCCACAAAAAAGAAAGAAATCTTCCCTTTTGTGACAACGTTTAGGGCATTATACTAAGTGAAATAAGTCTGACAGAGAAAGACAAGTATTGTATGGTCTCACTTATATGTAGAATCTAAAAAAAACCCTGAATTCATAGAAACAGAGAGCAGACTGGGGATGGGTGTGGGGGGAATGGGTGAAGGTGGTCAAAAGGTACAAACTTCCAGTCATAAGATAAATAGGTTCTGGGGACATAAGGTACAGCATGATGACTGTAGTTAACAACACAGGATTGTGTATTTATTGTATATTTGAAAGCTGCTTAGAGAGTAAATCTTTTTTTTTTTAAGAGAGTAAATCTTAAAAGTTCTTTTCACAAGAAAGTAAAACTAATTATGTGAGGTGATAGATGTCAACTAAACTTGTGGTGATCATTTCACAATATATACATATATTGAATCATTATTGTACACCTGAAACTTATACAGTGTTATACGTCAATGTTATCCCAACAAAACTGGAAAAGAAAGAAGGTGTCTCTTCTACGTAGATTACAGTTGGTTACAAAAAAAAAGCTCTGATAATCTTCACCTTTTAACTCAGCTACTTAGTCTACCTATCTCTGTTTCATGAAATTACTGATATATTTAGGAGCTATCCTATTGTTTTCCAGTTAACCTACCTTTCACGTTCTTTTTATTCTTTTGAATTATTAGTTATCCCATATTTTACTTTTATTAACTTGTTAAATGTTCTTGAACTGTTCTTATATTGTTTAGTCTAGAGACTACATGCATCCTTGACATATCACAGTCTGGTACAAGTTTTGACTTTTACCACATCCCGAATAGCAAGAGAACGTGAGAATACTTAAGCTCCATTTAGCCCCTTCTCATTCTCTCTGGGATTTTACTGGCATGTTTTGCCTCCATATGTTGTTAATCCCATAGACATTCTTTCTTATTTATGTCAACACTCACTCACTTCTATTTCCCACATACTTACCCTTTCTGGTGCTCTTCATCCTTCTCTGAAGGTCAATTCTTCCATCTGGATAATTTTCCTGCAGCCTAAAGAACATGCTTTAGTATTTCTTATCGTGAAATTCTTTTGTAATAAATTCTCTCAACCTGCATTTATCTGAAAACCTGTTTGTTTCACCTTCACTCTGGAGGCTATTTCGATGGGTACTGATTTCCAGGTAGGCAGTTTTTCTAGCACTTGAAGATGTCACTCCACTGCCTCCTGGCTTTTACAGTTTCTGTTGAAACTTCTACTATCAGTCTCTCTGCTGCTCTTTTGAAGGTGATGTGATTTACTTTCTTCTGGCTGCTCTAAAGATCTTCTCTATCTCCAGTCTCCAGCAGTTTCACTATCATGTGGCCTGGGTATGGTCTCTTTTGTATTTATCCTGCCTGCGATTTGTGGAATTTCTTGAATCTCTGGATAGTTGTCCAGATATTTGGAACATTCTTGGCCATTATCTTCTCCAAACTGCTTCTACAGTTACATATATATATATATATATATATATATAAAATTTCCAATTACATATATATTATTCTTCTGTGTTCCACGTGTATCTTCCTTTTCTCCTGTGTGCTTTAGTTTGGATATTGTTGACTAATTCATTTCCAAGCCACTAACAGTGTCTTTTGCTACAGCCAATCAGTTGCTAACAAATCCATTGAGTTCTTAATTTCAGATATTTATTTTTCAATTCTAGACCTTCTTATTTTTATAAATTCTGATTCTCTGGAAAATTTCCCAATTCTTTTCTTTTCTTGTACCTAATAATCAAGGTTATTTCAAAGTCCTTGTCTGCTAACTTCACCTGTGGGTCTACTTTTTTTTTTAACATCTTTATTGGAGTATAATTGCTTTACAATGTTGTGTTAGTTTCTGCTGTATAACAAAGTGAATCAGCTATATGTATACATATATCCCCATATCCCCTCCCTCTTGCACCTCCCTCCTACCCTCCCTATCCCACCCCTCTAGGTGGTCACAAAGTACCGGGCTGATCTCCCTGTGCTATGCGGCTGCTTCCCACTAGCTATCTATTTACGTTTGGTAGTGTATATATGTCAGTGCTACTCTCTCACTTCGTCCCAGCTCACCCTTCCCTCACCCCGTGTCCTCAAGTTCATTCTCTACGTCTGCGTCTTTATTCCTGTCCTGCCGCTAGGTTAATCAGAACCATTTTTTTTTTAAAGATTCCATACATATGTGTTAGCATATGGTATTTATTTTTTTCTTTCTGTCTGACTTACTTCACTCGTATGACAGACTCTAGGTCCATCCACCTCACTACAAATAACTCAGTTTGTTTCTTTTTATGGCTGAATAATATTCCATTGTATATATATGTGCCACATATTCTTCATCCATTCATCTGTTCATGGACACTTAGGTTGCTTCCATACCCTGGCTATTTAAATAGTGCTGCAATGAACATTGTGGTACACATCCCTTTTTGAATTATGGTTTTCTCAGGGTATATGCCCAGCAGTGGGATTGCTGGGTCATATGGTAGTTCTATTTTTAGTTTTTTAAGGAACCTCCATATTGTTTTCCATAGTGGCTGTATCAATTTACATTCCCACCAACAGTGCAAGAGGGTTCCCTTTTCTCCACAACTTCTCCATCATTTATTGTTTGTAGATTTTTTGATGATGGCCATTCTGACCGGTGTGAGGTGATACCTCATTGTAGTTTTGATTTGCATTTCTCTAATGATTAGTGATGTTGAGCATCCTTCCATGTGTTTGTTGGCAATCTGTATATCTTCTTTGGAGAAATATCTATTTAGGTCTACTTATATATACATTTTATTTTACACATATATTAGTATAAATATATCGGTAAGGGGGGACATTCTTGCCTTGTTCCTTTCTAGTTCCATTAGGCATGACTTGGCTTTTAGGGTGATATAGATATGTTTTGTCATGTTGAAAGGTACCCATTTTACCAAATACCTTTTCATCGTCAGAATAGATATATATGATTTTTCTCTTTGATCTATTAATATCGTGAGTAATGTTACTACATTTCCTAATATTGAACCATCCTTGTATTTCTGGAAAACAATCACAGTTGGTAATGAGATGTCATTCTTTTAACATTTTTTTAGTATATTGTTGGATTTGTGTCTAATATTTTATTTACAAGTTTTGCATTGGTATTTAAAAGTGAGATGAGTCTTTAGTTTTAATTTTTTCCTGTGCTGTATTTGTTCAGTTTGGGCATCAATATCTTGAGCTTTATGATATGAATTTAAGTCTTCCTCTTTTTCCCCTATGTTCTATAAAAATTTAAATAAAACTGGTACCTGTTTCTTAAAGTTTCTCAGAAAAGTGCTTTTTAAACAATGGAATGCTAATCAAAATGTAACAGCAAACTCAATTTGCAGGGGTTAGACAGATAAGACAGTGAGCAGTATGTACCTTGCCACGGGATGAAGGAGGCATCTGAGGCGTAACGTAGGCCAAGTTCAAAGTGTGTGGGCTGGAAGTGGTCCACGGACAGCCAGTGTGAAACCCTACAGAATGACGATGAGGCCCACGTGTTTACACATTCATACCCCCTGCCTTATGCCTAGCATGTGAGGCCTCCTGGTTAATGGCATGGCCCTGAGATGGATGAGATCCGCTTTCCATGTGACTCAGGTAGACCAACTACCTCCTCTGAGCCACTCCCCCCATTTGTACAGTGAGAATAAGAACTAAAACTTACCTTTAAAGGTTGTCATGAGGACTGAAAGAGAAAACGAGATAATGTAGATACACTTCCTCACAAGGACTAGTTTGGGGGGTACATTAATATGTACCCGTTATCATTGTGATTATTACTTAATTTTTTCCCAAATGGAAACAATTTTCTTCGTGATTATAAAAGCAATACAGGACTTCCCTGGTGGCACAGTGGTTAAGAATCTGCCTGCCAGTGAAGGGGACATGGGTTCAAACCCTGGTCCAGGAAGATCCCACATGCCATGGAGCAACTAAGCTCACGTGCCACAACTACTGAGCCTGTGCTCTAGAACCCGTGAGCCACAACTACTGAGCCCGCGCGACTAGAGTCTGTGCTCCACAACAAGAGAAGCCACTACAATGAGAAGCCTGCGCACCGCAATGAAGAGTAGCCCCTGCTCGCCACAACTAGAGAGAGCTCATGCGCAGCAACAAAGACCCAATGCAGCCAAAAATAAATAAATTTATAAAATAAATAAAATAAAAGCAATACATCTTCACTGCAAAACTACAACAAACAAAACACCACCATGCTGTATATAAACAAGATAACTCTATATGCAGCATTAGAGCCTACCTTTTTCACATAATGACATTTGTGCGCATCGATTCATTGATGGCAGTAACTCATGTGATTAGAGGAATCCTTCACCTTCCTGTTAGCATGAGTTCATTTTCAGTGGCCATCAGCTGTATCTGGGTGTAGATGTCCATTGTGAACACGGCACTGGCACCGCTGAAAAGAGAAGTCAGGGAGGACGTGGGAGAGGCCCAGAGTGCGGACACCATCAAGCCTCGAACACCTGGAAGAAAAGGAACACTTCCTGGGCCTCCAGCTCTTTGGCCGTGCCAGGAGACGCCTTAGGCCTCCTGAGGAACATTCCCACATAGTAAATTTTGTTCGGAGTGGGAGTCCATCTAAGATAGATCAAGTGCATTATAGCTGCCCTTGCTCTGTGACGAGCCTTGCTAGCTGGCCGCTGTGTCTTCATATAATATGCGAGTGCTTACTCTGGGCTGGAGCACCTCTTCAGGCATCAGCCTGATGATCTCCCTACAGCCCTGTGAGAAGGACACCAGTGCTGACCCCTTTTACAGATGATGTGGCTCCTTGTGCCTCAGTGTCCCCATCTGTAAGGTGGGTATTAAAGTACCTACTGCACAGACTGTTGTTAAGATTACGATACAGTAAGAAGATGGGTTAACACAATGTCCAACACAGAGCAAGCTCTCAACAAGTGTTACCTATAAACGTAACAGTCTAGGCTTCTGACCTGCAAGGCCACTGGACGGCAGCGGCTTTGCTGAGAGATTCCCATGCATAGTTGGGAGAGCCCGAGGGTAACAGGGCTTGCACAGGAGGCCCCTCTGTATTCAGCAGGTACTCAGGCCAGGCCAAGACTAGAGTTCTTGGATTGGCCTGGCTTCAAGTGCCATGGCCCTGGGCTGCAGCCCCGGGTGCTGGGCGACCCCCTTCCTGAACTGTGGGATGGTTGGTGCTTCCCTCAGCTGGGGTCTATCTACACTGTATTTTATGGGAATGTCTCAACATTGCTAGCCTATTTATCCTCAGAGCTAATACGGGATTTAAAAAGACTGTACTGTTTGTTTGCCCGTTTCCCTGGGATGTGGCGAAGTGGGTGAGACGAAAGCCATGCCCCTGCCTGTCCCACTGGACTGAACTCCTTGAGAGCAGGATGCGGTCTTGCTCCCCTCTTTGTCCCCACAGATTAGAACAACGCCGAGCGCCCATCTGCGGCAGTGAGGAGCAGAGGCGTGGGTTCTGCAGGGAGGGGACCATGCAAAGGGCGAGCAGAGGCTGGGCCTGAGCGCGTGCCCGAGAGAGAAAGAGAAAGAAAGAGACAGAGAGAGAAAAAGAGAGAGAGAGAGAGAGAGAGAGAGAGAGAGAGGAAGAGGAGGCCGCAAGGCTCCCGGGATGCCGAGGGCCCCTCCCACAGCCTACGCTTCCACCGGGGCCCTCACTCCTGACCGTCCACTCACAGCCCTGGACGCCAGCTCCACTTCTTACCACTGGGCAGCAGCTCCACCACCAGCATGGGGTAGGCGAGAGGGCTGCAGCCAGTTCTGGCGCCACAGTACTTTTCACACTCTGAAGGTACAACACACGCCACTTTATCTGCAAAGAGAGACAAGCGTCACACCAGCATGTGGCCCCTGAGCACTAAAATCTGAGCTCAGGGAACGGGAAGCAAATTAGGAATGGTGTGTGGATGGCAGATTCTTCGTCTCCAATTCGTGACCCCACACGTGCGTCAGGAGCTGGGGGTCAGGCCCCAGGAGTCAGCGGGTCGGTGCTTCTGCCAGTTCACTGCTTGACCCACAGCAAGCCCTGTGACCTCGACAAGGCTTTCAATGATCCCAGCCAGGTGTCAGGAAAGCAAACGATGATTCATCCATACACTGATGGGTGGGCCACTCATGACCTTACTCCCTTAGCCCCGTAGGGGTGTTATTTCAGAGTATTTGGGGAGAAATTTGGACAAAGGGAAGTAAAGGAGGGAATGTGATAGGCCTTCAAGAGCTTAAATAACAGATAAAAATTTACCATCTGAGAAAAAAACCAAAACAACGAATCAACGTAGACTAGGAAGAGGCAGGAAGGGCCTGGGTTTACATGGAGAGCAAGGGGTTTCACTGGGGACGTCAGGAAAACTAAGGGGGTCAGCTTTTCCTCTGCCTGCTCTCCCTCCCCCTGCCCTGCGAGCAGGCCCTCAGTCTCCTTCGGCATGGTTTGGGAGGGGCCCAGGGGCCACCTGGCCATTCTGGAAACACCTTCCCCTTGGCCACAATGACTGGTTCCTGTCACCCAAGTGAGCTCACGGGACTCCCCTGGGATTTCTGCTGGGAGGGCGAAAAGGAAACACTCTTTCTGGGGGTCGTTGGGCTGGAGGGTGGAAGGCTGGTGCTGCTGGTGGTCATCTGCCATCAGACAGACTGAGAGGACACCAGCTCGGAGGAAAGAGGAGCTAAAAGTGCACGTCATTTTCACTCAAGAGCCTCAACTAATACAGTGGCCCCCAAGGAAAACCTGACTGGCAGAATCACACCGTGTGGGTGTCTGGCCCCCGGTTCTGGCCATGGGAGAGACCCAGAATCTAGGACCAGGAACGTTTGGGTTACTGGAAAAGTATGTTCTCCCAGGAATGTGGGCAGGTGCGGAGCTTTTGTGCCAAACCGCTCTCTATGAGTGTGTATAAACAGTCTGTGAGTCTGGCCATTTCTGAGGATGGGGGACAAGTGGTCCTGGGCCCCTCCCCACCCTGACGGCTCTCCCAAGGGCAGCCCACCAACTCTATTCACCTGGTGGTCAGAAGCTGGGGGCGTGTGGCTTCCTGAGGCCCGCTCTTCTCGCTCCTCCCTCAGCCACTTCTAGAGGCCAAGAGACATGTGGTTTCGCCCAGTGGGTGGGGTGGGCTGTGAGGTGAAGTGGGGCTGGGGAGGCAGGGCCGCCAAGCACAGGCGACTCTGGGGTCCTAGCGAGCACAGAGGCCTATTTCTAACCTACGAGGAGGCACCACCTAAGAGACCCCAGAAAGGGCTGCCTGACAGCCAAAGACCAAACCTGGGATGTTGGAACGGAGCGCTCCTCTCTGTTGAAACTGGAAAGGGATCAGGATTAAAAAAGAGGCAGACTGAGGATGGATTAGGGTTAGAGACGTCTACTGCACATGTGGCTTCGCAATAAAAAGTGCTTCACTCTCTGCTTGGCCTTGTCAAGCACTGAGGCAGAAGACTGTGGAAGCCGCCTGCTTTGTCCATGTGGCTGCACCATCTGAGTATGTGCTCCATAAAGGTTTAATGAATAAACAAATCTGGTACCGAGAGGCAGTACACCTAAAGGCAGTAAAACGAGGCTGCAACGGGGATGAGGGACATCCACGAAATTATGACAGCTCAATTAAGTGCAGCAGGGACGTTCTCACAGCACTTAACAGAAAGAACGTGGGCCTCAGGGCTAGACCCACTTTGGGGGTTCCATCGACGTGCCACACCTGGGGCTGTGAGAGCAGTGACGGCATTGGTCACATCCGAGCACAATGCCTGGCACCCAGGAGTGCCCGCAGGACGGTGCCTGCAGTGCAGGGGGAACAGCTGACCTCCCCATGGACTACGCCTCAACGCCACGCAGAGACCGGCCACTGCAGGGAGCATCGGCTGGCTCATCTCCGCCTGAACTCGTCTCTCTGCAATTCCTCTCTTGCCACCTACATCCACGGTCCCTGCCAGACTTCTGCTCAGCCACATCCCTAATCTAAATCCATGAGCTCCCAAGAAAGCAATCCGGGGCACCTCAACCCCAGCAGTCTCCCCAGCAGGAGACCTGATAACCCCATGCTCCCTAGATGTAGATGCCTGAGAGAGGAGAAGATCAGTGTGAACACAGCAGAGTAAGAATTACCTGTGTACAGGACGCGGCTGATCATCCCTGGCATCACTATGCTGATGGGCAGCAGCTTCAAGTACCCACACAAGACACAGCCGCCTTTCACATGAGACACGTTCTTCCCTGCCAGGCAGCCCTGGACAAAAATCTGTCGAGGAAACACAGGTGGGGGGGGGGGGGGGGGGGGGGGGGGCTTTCTCAGAGGGTATCAAGCCCAGGCTGCCTCGGCACAGATAGGACAACTGTGACCTGCAGTAGCAGTAGGGTGTGCCCTCGGAGGGGGTGCCCACTGCTCACCCCAATCACCCAGGTGTCTCCGGGCATGCAGGGCCAGGGGAGGCACGTGTGGCCGATGCACACGTTTTGCTCAGTGCACAGCTACCAGAGGGGAGGAGGGTGGCCTGACCTTGGCCTCATTGCTAGCACTGCACACCAATCAGCAGCACAGTGCTTACAAGCTGTCCCCTGGCAAGGATGAGACTCCCTTCTAGAGGCCACAGACCGTCTCTGCCCTTGTGACAACAATCCAAGCACAGGTTGGTCCCCGGTAACAAATGAGTGTTTAGAACTGGGACCAGCTTCACTTGTCCAAGTAGAAATGAACCAGTGTAGACCTTAACATGCAAACTCTCCTGGGAGGCGCTTCACGCCCCCTTTCGCGGTGCTCCTGCTGTAAGAGGCGGTGTGCACTCAGCCCGAGCAGAATGGTGTAGCGGGCAGATGGAGATGCACTTAAGAAAGAACATAAAGACATGGTCCAGTGCATCAAGACAATGCAGTACTCTGTATGCATTAAAATTACGTTCTCAAAGAATATTTAAATAATGTGAAAAATGCTCATAGCGTGACAGTAACAAAAAGGCACGGGATACAATAGCACACACACCTCGACTCTATACCTAGAAAAAGTCCACAGGAATAAACCAACATGACAACAGAGGTTAATCCTGGGATGGTAGGATTGACAGGTAGGATTTTCATGTTCTTCTTTAATGCTTTCTTTCTTTCCCACATGCATTATTTATTAATAGGAGGAAGAACCCCAAGGTGGTCCTGCCTCATGTAAGCAGGCACTGCTTCTCAGTGGGCCTGTGGGCATCCTGCTGATAGCCTCTAGGTGCCTGGGGGTCTCTGCTGAGCAGGTGGGCAGCCAGGCTGCACTTCCTGGTCTTTGCTTAGCTCTGCACACAGAAGAGATGGTCTCTAAGGGAGGGGATGAAGGAACAGGGCCAGAGCAGAAGCCAACTCTTTTTTTTTTTTTTTTTTGCGGTACGCGGGCCTCTCACTGTTATGGACTCTCCCGTTGTGGAGCACAGGCTCTGGACGCGCAGGCTCAGTGGCCATGGCTCACGGGCCCAGCCGCTCCGCGGCATGTGGGATCTTCCCGGACTGGGGCACAAACCCGTGTCCCCTGCATCTGCAGGCGGACTCTCAACCACTGTGCCACCAGGGAAGCCCCAGAAGCCAACTCTTATTCTGAGGACAGGATAGTCGTAGGGGCATGAAATCATTCCACGCAGAAAGCCCTAAGCACTTTCATAGGTTGTCATATATTACAAAGCGGGGCAAGGGACGAATTCTTGTTTAAAGATGGTAGTGGGCCAAAGGAAAACAATTTTTCCTTTGGTCAGTTTGTCTCTTTTTCAATTAAAATTCTTTCTTAAATCATTTTCTTTACTAGTTAGGAAGTTAGAGATTCTACTTCTATGCTTTTAATAATTACCCTTAAAATTTTAACATGGATACAACTTCAGGTCTAAAGTAAATCAGTATCTGTGCCCTTCTGAACAATTTAAGGTCCACAAACAGATTTAACTCTAATTATGGTCCGATATTTTAGCTCTGTCCTGTGTTACTTCCTGTGTGCAGAATTATGGTGATTTTCAGCCAATGCTTCAGATCTGCGCACGTGCCGGCCGGCTTCTCTAACTGTCCCTCCTGCTCACCAGGACCTCCTTTTTCTTTATGCACGTCATTCAGTCTCTAGGGAAGGTTATGCCTTTATTTTGCCCTTGTTACTGAGTAATACTTAGCTGGGCACGTAATTGAAAGTGGACATTTTCCTCAGTACCTTGAAAAGTTTCCTCCTCTCCCTTGGGTTCCACTGCTGCTGCTGAGCAGACTGTTGGGGGTGTACCTGTCTTCTTCTACAAGGGATCTTTTCTCTCAGGTGGCTTTCAGTCTCCTCTTCGTCTTTCATGTTCTGAAACTTCATCAGGAGGTGACTTTGTGTAGATTTGCTTGGGATTCACTGTGATTCCTGAACCTGATGAGTCCTGTTCTTTCAACAGCTGTAAAAATTCTCAGCCACTTTCTCTTCAAATATTGCTTCTCCCCTTTTCTCCTGGAACTCCAATAGGATGTATTTTAATCCTGTCTTCCATGTCACTTTGTCTCTCTTTCACACTTTCCATTTTTCTGCTTTCTGGGCAAGTTCTTCAGTTCTCTCTTCTAGGTTACCACTTTTTTCCTTCAGCTATGTTTAATCTGTTATCCTAACAGTTACTCAGTTTTACATTTCAGTAAGAATATTTTTCATTTCCAGAAGTTTGAGTTTGAAATCTAACTGATCATTTCTGATGGAAGGGTTTCTTGGTTGTGGTGGTTTGATTCCACCTTGTTTTCTAATTTTTACAGAAAGACTTTTCTTGTCATTGACATAAAGCAGCATAATTAGACACATAATAAGCAGAGGGGAAGAATACAAATAACAACACTGTGGCTGCATTACAGGTCATGCCCGTGTGCTGGGCTCTGGGCCTCATCTTGTTTCCTGGTCCTCCGCTCAGCACATGGTAAAGCTCCATCAGTGCCACTCCTTGTATGGTGGCTCCACGGCTTCTCACGGAGGCACAGCAGCCCTCAGTGGTATCCCCCACTCCCACCCCACCCCCATCTCATCCACCCACCTCAGTACCTAGCACAATCAACACTGTGATCAAGGCCTCACATATGGTCCCCTATGAACTTGGATGAGGAGTTTTGGGTAGTTTCTGAGGAACATCACCAATTGGTCACAGAGTACAACATATTTGACTTTATTCAGCATTGCCAGATCACCCTCCAGAAAACATGCCCCGTTTGCACTCTCACCAGAAATGCAAGAGGATTCCTGAACATCCCTGTCCTCCTCAACAGTTGACATCATCAAGCTTTCTAATTTTTGCCAGTCTCATTGTGGTTTTAAATTGCACTTCCCTGATAATGCTGGGTTATATGCTTGTTAGCATTTACGTTTGTTTGCATTTCCTTGTCTACAAATTGTCTCTCATTATCTTTTGCCTGCATGGCTACTGGAGCTCCTTTTTCTTGTGGATTTGCTATTAGTCTCCTGTTCATTATAAACATTCTGATATTCTTCTCTAGCCCGTCATCCATCAACTCTGTCTAGAGCATCTTTGTTACAAAGGCCTTATGTGTAATGTGATCAAACCGATATGATTTACACTCCCCCCAACTCAAAAGTATTCACTAGCTTACCTTGCCTTATTGTAGTACAGGTTTACTTTCCACGTTTAAGTCTTTAATTCATCTGAAGTCCACTTCTGTGTAAGTGTTAGGTGGGGATGAAGCTTTGTTATTCCAAATAGTAAGCTGGGTTTGTTTTTTTTTTTTTTTTTTTTTTTTTTAACAACATCGAAGAGTATGTATCTCTGCTGTTGCTTTGTGGAGCCTCCTTGAACACATATTAAATTCCTATAAGTACATGAGTCTGTCTCTGAGCTCTTTATTCTGTTCTGTTAGTCTATATGTCTATTCCTGGGAATTTCAAACTGCTTGTATTACTGCAACTTCGTCAAAGTTTAAATATCTGGTCGGGCAAGTTCTCCCCGTTTGTTCTTCATTTTCAAACTTGGGCTAGCTATTTGTGGCATCTTCTCCTTCCACAAAAGGTTTAAACCCTTTTTATTGTGCTATAACACACGAACATGGTGTAGCACATGACAGAGCGCACCACGGAAACACCAAGTCAAGAGGTGCAACGCTCAAAGGCTGGCATATAGAATGCAACAAAGAATCTAACTGATTTAGAAATGTATGAAAAAACTCACTGATGGTGGTGGAACAAAATAAAAAAAAAATAAAAAAAAGAGGCGCAACATTGAGGTACCCCAGAAGCCTCTCTCTATGGCTCTTGTAAACAATTGAGGTGAAATTCACATAACATGTAATTAACCATTTTAAAGTGAACAATTCTGTAGCATTTAGTACATCCCCAGTGTTGCATCACAGCCACCTCTCTCCAGCATCTCAGCTTCTTCATCACCCAGAAGAACACCCAGGCCCATGAAGCAGCCACTCTCCATCCCTCCTCCCCGGGGAAGCACTAATCGGATTTCTGTCTCCATGGATTTGCCTGTTCTGGATATTTCATATAAAAGGAATCATACAATAGGTGACCTTCTGTGTCTGGCTTCTTTCACTTAGCATGATGTTTTCGAGGTTCATCCAAGGTGTAGCATGTATCTGTGCTCATTCCTTTCTATGGCTGAATAATATTCCAACACATGGATACACATTTTGTTTATTCATTCATTCGTTGGTGGATATTTGGGTTGTTTCCACTTTTTAATGATTGTGAACACCACCGTTATATGTGCCTCTTTTTAACCTCAACCCTCTCCCTTGCTTCAGAAATGATCGCTTTAATGACTATTTTATTTCCTCCTTGCTTTTTCTTTACAATTTTTTGCTACGTAATTGTGTATACCTAAACAACATAACTTAGCATTGCCTGTGTTAAGCTTTATATAAATGTAATCACACAGCACCTAGTCTTCTGTGTTTAGATTCTTTTATTTGGTATAATGCTTTAAAGATTCATCCATGCTATGGTGTGTAGCTGTACTTCCTTTTTATTTCTATATTGGCCTTCCACTGTATGAATATTTCACAGTTTATTTCATTAACAACCATTGATAGAGAGCCATATAATTTTTAGAATAAGCTTGAGTCCTTAAAAAATCCAACTGAAATACTGATTAGTGGTATTTAATTTCTAGACTCAATTTGGGAGAACTGACATATTTTTCATGTGCAAACATTGTGCTTTGTAGATAATGAGAGGGAGGAAAAAATGAAAACAAGTGCTCTGTTATAGACAGGACTGGAGGGGGAACCCCTTTTATTTTTTTAAAGATTCTTTTGATGTGCACCATTTTTAAAGTCTTTATTGAACTTGTTATAATATTGCTTCTGTTCTATATTTTGGTTTTTTGGTCGTGAGGCATGTGGGATCTTAGCACCCTGACCAGGGATCGAACCCGCACCTCCTGCATTGGAAGGTGAAGTCTTAATCACTGGACCACCAGGGAAGTCCCGAGAGACCCCTTTCAGACAGAACGTGGTCCTGCACTACATTTGGGTATTACACAAGGCTGGGAGGGAAGCCTGCCTGTGGCTGCAGAGACTGCAGAGACCCCCAACCCCCAGGCCCCAGTGCAGGCCCGTCAGCACAGCGCATTTGATTACCTGGTCAGTGCACCAGTAGTACAAGGAGAGGGTGGAGATGCCAAAGATGACTCCAGGCCAGGGGATGTCTGCAGTGGTGGGATCTCGGAAGATATGGAAAGAATCCAGACGAGGAATGAAGCATTCTGGCTGGGCGGTCCAGTTTCCTTCACAGATGAGGGTGGGCTTAGCATCCATGTACTTATGCTGTAGTTCCTGGTATCCTCCCACCTCCTTAAACGCTTGAAAACACCATACAGTTGGTCAGTACCTTCAACTGCACAATAACACACGTCTGAAGAACCAAGATTGCAAAGTGAGACACAATGGACTGGCAAATAGCCAAGACTGTACGTACCTAAGAAAAGACACCATCTCCTCCAAAGAAAAAGAGGAGTACAGTGGACACTGGTGGTCGTATGCCTGGCACCCCATCCTCCTGCTTCTGGGGACAGAACCCCTCTTCCAGCTGCATCCCGCCCTATATGAGTTAGGTGGGCCTCGTCAAACTACCTACCACTCATTCCGATCTGGCACGTGACCCAGGCCTGGCCAATATGCCCCATCACCTGGGCAGCTGATGTAACAGGAATGGACTTGGGACCCAAGCCCGGCTAATCAGAGCTTGTCCCAGGAGTCTTCTGCTTAAGGCACCAAAAAAGCCTGCTTCTTTGCTTTGGGGTTCTAAGCTAGGATGGCAGTTGAAAGCTCTTTTGTCTACCTGGCTCATGCAGAAGGCTGGATCGAGCCATGCTCAAAAGTAAGACGGCCCTGGAATTTTCACTTAGGTGAGCCAAGGAAGTACTTATTTGCTTATACTAGTTTGGAACTAAAGTTCTATTTCAAGTTATTTGAAGAATCTCGACTAAATCAGAAATTAATATTCATTTTCCTGCAATTCCAGCAGAACAGTTATGAAACTTCATATCTGGAATTTTCTTCAGAGCCTATAGCATTTCTCCCTCAATATCCTAAGTAGTGTAAAATCTCAACATTAAAGAAAATTTTATTTATTTTTGGCTGAGTTGGGTCTTTGTTGCTGCACGTGGGCTTCTCATTGCGGTGGCTTCTCTTATTGCAGAGCACGGGCTCTAGGTGCGCGGGCTTCAGTAGTTGTGGCTCACGGGCTCTAGAGCGCAGGCTAAGTAGTTCTGGTGCACGTGCTTAGCTGCTCCGCGGCATGTGGGATCTTCCCAGCCCAGGGCTCGAACCCATGTCCCCTGCATTGGCAGGCGGATTCTTAACCACTGCGCCACCAGGGAAGCCCGAAAAATATTTTTAAAAGGCACTAAAACACATAATTCCACCTACTTAACTAAAAATCTTTTATTTTGGCATATTAAACCATGTTCCTTTGATATAGACTTGATTTTTGAAATGGGTTCAGAATCATATGGAGTCAAGACTAGTCAATGAAAAGATACCAAGTGACTATGAAATGAATAAGACACTTCATGGCACTTCTAAAAACGAATTCCATGTGGATTTTAAAAAGGTGAACTACAAAACCACAAAGTTATTAGAAGAAAACAGGAGAGTATCTTTATGAACTTGGGTTAGGGAGTAGTACATTCTTCAACAAGACACAGAAAGGAAAAGGAAGGTTGACAAATTTGACTTCAAAATTTTAAATTTATATGACTGAAATCAAGTTAAAAATTTGTTAGAATAAAAGAAGAGATTTGCATCACGTATGAAGGACTCACACATCAATAGCCAAGGGAAACTACTGGAAAGAAATGTGGTAGAGAATATGAACATGTAATCCACAAAGGAGGAAATACAAATGTCCACTAAGTATATGAAAAGATGCTCAACCTCACCAGTGTCTGGAAACTTCTAATTAAAACAAAAATGAGATACTTGTTTTTCCCGTTTCACCTACTAGGCATATTTTTTTAAAGTCTTAAAACATCAAGTGTTGGGCTTCCCTGGTGGCACAGTGGTTAAGAATCCACCTGCCAATGCAGGGGACATGGGTTCAAGCCCTGGTCTGGGAAGATCCCACATGCCGCGGAGCAACTAAGCCCGTGAGCCACAACTACTAAGCCTGTTCTCTAGAGCCTGCGAGTCACAACTACTGAGCCCACGTGCCATAACTACTGAAACCTGCACACCTAGAGCCTGTGCTCTGCAACAAGAGAAGCCACTGCAATGAGAAGCCCACGTGCCACAATGAAGAGTAGCCCCCGCTCACTGCCAACTAGAGAGAAAGCCCGTACACAGCAACGAAGACCCAATGCAGCCAAAAATAAATAAATAAAACTTTTTTAAAAATTAAAAAAAACACAAAAACATCAAGTGTTGGCTGGGAGGTTAAGAAACACATATTCTCATACATTTCTGAGAATATAAGTTAAAATTGCCACTTTGGAGAGGAAATTGAGGTATCTCTTGACAAATCCAGGAATGCAAGGTTAACACTCAAAACCAAGTCAATGTAATTAACTGTGTTAAAAGAAAAAGGAGAAAAATAATATAATCACCTCAGTAATGTGGAAAAACATTTGATACAATTCAAAACCTGCTCATGATAAACAATCTTAGTAAACTAGGAATAGAAGGGAACTTTGTTAGTGTGACAAAAAATATCTACAAAAAATTGACAGCAAACATTTTACTTAATGGTGAAATATTCAAAGCTTTCCCTCTAAATTGGGAATGAGACAAGGAGGACTTCTTGTCTTCAATACTGTACTAAAGGTCCTGGCCAGTGTAATAAGGCAAGAAAAAGAAACGAAAGTATAAAGTTTGGAAAAGGAAACAAAAAGACAACTTCTTGAACTGGGTGCTGGCTACCAGAGTGTGTTCACTTTGTGATACTTCATCTAGCTATCCACTTTGATTTGTGCACTTTTCAATAAAAAGTTTATTACAAATACAAAAGCAGAAAAGATGCAGTAGATCTCTATTTGCTGATATAGAAATTTGCCTAAGATATAGTTCCAGTGGTGGAAAAACAGGCTTTAAAACGTTCTGATTCTATTAAGATATATATCTCACAGAGAAAAAAAAATATTTGTACAGGCATATCTCATTTTATTGTGTTTTGCTTTACTGCACTTTGCAGATACCATGTGGTTTTTTTGTTTTTTTTTTTTTTTTTTTACCAATTGAAGGTCTGTGGCAACCCTGAAACAATCAAGTCTATAAGTGCCATTTTTCCAACAGCATTATTTTAAAATTAAGGTATGTGCCTTGTTTTTAGACATAATGCTATTGTACACTTAACAGGCTACAGTATAGTGTAAACATAAGTTTATATGCACTGGGAAACCAAAAAATTCATGTGACTTGCTTTATTGTGGTATTTGCTTCATTGCTGTAGTCTGGAACCAAACCCACAATATCTCCAAGGTTTGCTTGTACATAAGAAGACCGTCTCTGGAAGGATGTACACAAAACTTATGATACTGGTTGGCTCTGGGGAGTCAAATTACGAAACTGAGGGTGGTAAATATTTCACTGTGTACCCTTTTGTTTTGTTTACCTTACCTAAAATTTACCTAAAAATTAGAAATAAAAAAATAAAATTGTATGTGCACAGGTTCCCACAGTGACTTGTTTGAAGGCAACATTCACTTGGATGTACAAGTTCTTGTACATTTTTAAAGGAAAACAATGCCTCTCCCAAATAGTTTACTTATCAAAAGAACTAGCATGAAAAAGAAAATGGTAAAAAGAAAATCCCATTAAATTTCTCAGAAAATGTCTTAGTCTGTTCGGGCTGCTATAACAAAATACCATATAGTGAATGGCTTACTTCCCACAGTTCTGGAGGCTGGGAAGTCCAAGATCAAGGTGCTGGCTGACAGGGTGTTGGCCATCTTCTCACTGTGTCCTCATGTGGCAGAAGGGTCGAGGGAGCTCTCTGGGGTCTCTTTTATAAGGGCACTAATGCCATTCGTGAAGGTTCTTCCCTCATGACCTAACCGCCTCCCAAAGGCCCCAACTCCCAATACCATCACATTGGAGGTTAGGATTTCAACTTATGAATTTTGGGGGGATACAAACATTCAGTCTATAACAGTAAATGATATATAATTATTTAGAGATATAATTGCTAAAATTAAATGGAATATTCCACCTGCCCCTAAAGTTTAATTGGATATCATTCTCAAGTATTGGGATGGTCTTGGTAAGTTTTAATGAAGTTGATATTTACCATTAACATTAAGCAAACACAATGGCTTAGAAAGTTTTATAGTTTATAGTTGTGTCACTCAAATCAGTGATTGTTTCCCAGCTCATTACAAAATTCCTTGGAGCATGCCTGACATGTATTTTGTGTCCCAGCAACACAGCATTGAGTATACTTCATGGAGCACTAATGCTTACTGAATGGTAAGACTGAGGTTTGTGATTCTGTGTGAGTCTATCTGTTCTCCTTCCATGAGGCTCAACAACATGCTCTATGGAACCATAACCCTTCAACTGAACTAGCATATCATTTCAATAATTTTTCCATACCTGAGCCAAGAGCTTTTCCTTCTAGGTTTCTGCAAGACCAATCTCTGACTCATGGAACAGTGGGTACCGCCAACCTCACTAAGGCTACTCCTAGCTAGTGGGAGGAAACCTCCACTTGAAGGTGAGTGTAATTGTCACTACAGGTACGGTAATATGCTATTCAAATATCGGGGGCTTCGGTGTTAGAGGGACCCAGCTCTGAGCTCTACTCTTGGTGTGTTTCATGAACAAGTTACTTAACTGAGTAACTCAGCTTCCTCATCAGTAAAATGAGGATAATAAAAGTAGTTATGCCTCATGATGACTGTGATCATTTAATGAGGCAATATAGATAAATGCCTGCATGGTACCTGATTCTCAATTTACATCAGCTATTATTTTCATTCGTCTTACTCACTAAGCACCTACCATGTGCATCAGACTCATTGTGTGAAGGATACAATGGCTCTGGTTCTTAAGAAGGTTTGGACCTGGGGGGTATGACTTATTTATGTGACACAATGAACAATCAAGGTATGTACCATCAAAAAAAAAAGTCACGTTGTGTGGTAGTGATACAAGTCCAGAGAACAAAGACGTAGAGGTAGAACAATCATGGAATCACACACTCAGGGGTGGATCTTCTGTTGACCCTGAGAGATGGATTTAACTGAGTAGACAAAAGGGAGAGGGGCTTCTGACTGGAGAGGAAGAGCATGGACAGAGGCACAGAGTGGGGATGAGTGTGGTGGGCCACTCTTGACTGCTGTTCAAAGTGCTTGAGTTTGTCATCACCCCTCCTACTCCTCAACTCCTCCTTCTCCTGACGCGGGCATGACCTTAGACAACGCTCGTGGGTTCTGAGGGCCTCGGTCTCCTCATCTGTGAGAGGAAGGTGCTGAAATGGCCCCAGACAGCTGTCAGATTCAAAGAGTCCACCCACAGTGCCCACTGCTCTCCAGATTTACTTACCATAGCCCATTAACAAGACTGAGCCCAGAACCACAACGCCAGCATGTAAGATATCAGTATAAACTGCAGCCGCAAAACCACCTGAATAGGCAAGAGAAAGCGAAAGGAGAGCCACGCCTGACTCTGTGGGAAGTTACTCTGCATGCCTGGTCCACACACTCGGGTCTGCCTGTCTCCACACCCACACCTCCGTCCTGAGCTCAGTGGGCCTTACAACTGCTTATGCTTAGACTAGATACACCCTGTTTTCTCTCTTGAACAGCCTTCATGATCTGTTGTTGGATTCTTATCTTGCTCTTTTATATCCCAATTTCCTTTTACTTCCCATTTTGGATAAATGAAAATCTGGTAGTTTTCCTAAGCAAAAAAGTATACAGGTCTTCCTTGACTTATGATGGGGTTACATCCTGATAAGCCCATTGTAAGCTGAAAATATTATTAAGTCGAAAATGCATTTACTACATCTCACCTACTGAACATCATAGCTTAGCCTGGTCTGCCTTAAATGTGCTCAGAACACTTACATTAGCTTACAGTTGGGCAAATTCATTAACACAAAGCCTATTTTATAATACAATGTTGACCATCTCATGTAATTTATTGAATACTGTACTGAAAGAGAAAAACAGAGTGGCTGTCTGGGTAGAGAACGGCTGTTCACCCCGTGGATGCGTGGCTGATGGGGAGCTGCCACTACCCAAGGTTATGATGCCACGTATCATGCTACATAGCATTAGCCCAAGACGGGATCAACATTCCAAATTTGAATTGTCTGCCTAAGTGATCCCATCTGATGGCCTGACCAGGTTACCAGGTAACCAGGATACCCTGAAGCAGCTCCTCCTCTCAGTCCCTTTCTGTGCTCCCGCTCCTTCACCCCTTCACCAAGCAGACTTCAGTGTGAGGCCTGCCCCACCCCAAACACTGCCGGCCCTGTCAATCCTCTTGGAAAGCCCCTGCCAGTCTGATACGATTTCCAGGAGCAGGGCACAACTCGGGCACCCCTGCCTCAATTATTTTCAGCATTTGGCCCTTTCAGGCCTCAGCAATGTGACTTACAGACTCAGGGAAAATGCAAAAGCTGGAGATCCCTGTCTCAATGTCTTTAGGACTTCAATAAGAAGTAGAGCTTTTGTGTCAACACAAATACCTGTGGGGTTAGAGTAACCTCACCTGTGATGCCATAAATGCCATAACTGACAGCAAGACTACGGTGGCCAGGTAAACATCCAACCCCAAAACCAGCCTCATGAACATGGCGCCAGTGCAGATCTCCACCTGAAATGGGTACAAACATAGCAGGCTGCACTTTCATTTCCAGCTCTATCAACAGCTGTCCCATAAAGACGCTGACCTCAGAGGCCATCTGAAGTCAGCACGTCCACTCCATTCCTAGTGGACACCGGGTGAGGTCTACCCAAGTTCTGTTGGGCAACACAGCTGGTGCCCCATGAGTTCAGCCAAGGTCAGGACCTTTAAGCATTGGGCTAAGTTAATGCAACTTAGCCTCTTCCTCCTTGGAGCCTCAGAGTGGGGAGTGTGCCCAGGGAGCGAGCTGTTCCTGCAGTTCCGCCAGTGGGAAAGGCAGAGGGGGCTGCTTATCAGGGACTGGCAAGCTTTTTCCGTAAAGGGAAGATGGTAAATGCTGTAGGCTTTGTGACACACAGACCATTTCTGTTTTTTTACCACTCTTTAAAACTGTAAAAACCATTCTTAGCTCAAGGACTGTGCAAAGCAGATCACTAGTCCGACTGGCCTGCGGGCTGGGTTTGTTAACCCCAGGCTTTGTTGACAATGACTCTGAAGCACCTGCACGTCATTTACTGGCTAACCTCATGCTTTGGTATTCTGGTCTCCACAGCCAGGGATACAATGGGCAGAGGTTCTCCCAACACCCAACATTTACACACCGAATGTTTACTGAGCACCAGCCATGTGGTAGATACTCGGCAGGGTTCAGGAGATCCAAGGGTTACCAAAACTCAGTCACTGTCTTCAAGTACCTTATGTTTAATGAAGGAGATAGGCCACCAAATAGGCAATTTCCATGCAGTGTGATAAGTGACACTCATTCAGTCATTCAAAAAAAACACCTGTCAAGTGCCTTATGTGCTAACCATGCTCTCAGCAGAGGGGGATTGCAGGGAGCAAGCCAGGAAAGGGCCCGGGGCTCAAGAAGCTTGCACCAGAGTGGAGAAGACAGATAACAAGCAAGGAAACAGATAAATTCTCTCACATGGTGGCATGTATTACAAAGGAAACAGAAACAGTAATGGAGTAGAGACTGACTAGGCACATCCGAGGAAGGCCTCTTCCAGGAAGTGACATTTCAAAAATCTGGGGGAAGAACATTCCAGACACAGTACAGAGCAGGTGTCAAGGGCTTCAAGTGGGAATAAGCTTGCTGGATTTGAGAAACAACATGGCGAGTACAGGGGAGGAGACGAGGCCAGAGGAAGGGCCAGGGTAGGAAGGCTTCACAGGTCATAACACGAGGTTCAGTTCTCTTGTAAGGGTGGTGGGGTGCCTGGATTGTTTCCAGCAGGGGAGTGGCATCACCTGATGACATGACGCCCAGCGTTCTCTGGGAACACACAGGAGGGGCCTGTAACCCAGGCTGGGGAGGCAAAGAAGATGCCTCTGCCTTTCATTTTGTGTATCATTAAGCTATTTTTTCTCCACTTTAGCTTAGACAGCAGAGGCTGACAAGTAACTTATGAGGCCCCAGAGTGAACTGCTGCGACAAACCTAGCATAGTCCTGCCTATCGATTTTTTTGTGTTTTTCTTCCTTGGGCTGGCTTTTACACAACTCACCGAGATCTTACTGAAGATATAAAGGAATAAGTACAGAATAGTGAGGAGGAACTGGTTCCAGTAGCCACCAAACCTCTTCCTCAAATATTTGGGCAATGTTACTACCTGTAGGAGCAACAAGAGAAGCCACCGTCAGGCAGAGCGCTCACAAGGTGCTGGCTGTCACGGGGATGCGGCTGGCGGTGGGAGCGGCCCAGGAGTACCGGGTGCAGGGTCACCGACTCTCGCTTTGCATTACACGGACCCCTGTTAAGATGGGAGAACTAGGAAAGAAGAGGCAAAACCGCTGTCTTCAAGAAGCTTGGAATTTAGCTTCCTGTTCAACCTTTGGAAAGCAGAAGTAAGTGCAGCTAATTGAATATGTCAAACGATGACAAATCACTTTCATGAAATAATCATAGAGCAAAATCAAATGTTTTTATCACATACTACGAATATACCAAGGGCTCAAGGGAGACACAACTTGACTCCACAGCTCTCGCACCTGGTCCTCTGCGCCAATGCCTCTCGTGTGTGAGCTGGTGCCCCAGACCGCCCTGCTCATTTCTACCTCCACCATCTCACGCTGTGTGTGCCCGGTGGCAGGGAGTGTGCTCTTCGCTCATCAGATGCCTAGCACAGTGCCTGGCTCACGGCAGTGAATAAACCAGCGGTAACTGAATACCATCCCACCTCCAGTCCCGAATATGCTCCTGTGCTCTTGTTCCCCCACCTCACACATGCAAATCCCATCTGCTTTCTGCAGCCTTAGCTGGGGGCTTGGCAGGGACCACACGCCCCCTCCTAAACACCTGGAGCTTTTATTCATTTCCTCTTCATTTGGTTCTTAATCATATGCTGCCACACACGGCTGACTTCTCAGTCAGGCTCTAAGCTGTTTCACACTCACTACTCGTATTAGTTTGCCAGGGCTGCCGTCAAAAAGTACGACAGAGTGGCTCACACAACAGAAACGCATTGCTCTGTAGCTCTGGGGGCTGGCAGCTCGCGGTGTCCGGGGCTGGTTCTCACGGGGCCGTGAGGAAGGATGCATGCCAGGCCTGTCTCCTCGGCTGGCTGAGACCATCTCCCCACTGCGTCTGCTCATCCTTCCCTCTGTACATGTCTGTGTCCAATATACTCATCTCATAAAGTCATGCTGGATTAGGACCCACCCTAACGACCTCATTTTAACTTAATTACTTCTTTAAAGCCTTTATCTCAAAATCCGTCACAACCTGAGGTGATTTTCCTGGGATTATGGCTTCACAACTGCAAGCTTTAGACTGCACGGCAGACAAAGCCTTCCACAATTTTAATGCCCTCTCCACAAGTGTATGTTTTTAAGTTTTATGAGCCATGGTTTACACACAGTAAAATTATCCCATTTTAAGTGTAAAGTTTGATGAGTTTGGGAAAATGTATACAGTTGTGTGATCACTACCACGTTCAAAATATAAGGCATTTCTAACACCCTGCTAAGCCCCCAAGGGCGTGCGGCCAAGACCCTCACCACCCCAGTCTTGGAAAACCAGCTGTCAGTCTTGGAAAACCAGCTGTCGCCAGACTCGCCTTCCTTGGAGCTCAAACCCATGGAGTCACACAGCTCCAGGGAAACCAGTGTGAATGGTCACAGAACCACCAGAGTCCCTGCTCACAAATCACTCATGAACTTCCCTTTGGGACCAGCAGACCTTCCTATTTCCTCCACAACCCAACCCTGGCAACCACCATTCTGTTGTGTGTTTCTATGAGTTCGACATTTTTTTTTTAAGATTCCACATATAATTAATATCATGCAATATTTGTTTCTCTGTCTGGCTTATTTTACTGGTTCACAATTTTCTTTTAATGCATATGGCTAGTAAGGAAAGTATCCATAATCAATAAAGAATAAATGCACCCCCCCACCAAAAAAAAGAGTGTGTGCACTTCTATGTCCTGCTACTTTCACCTGGTACCACATCCTGCTTCTCACCCGTGCTGTCACTCGACGGCTCCTCGGTGCCACCTAGTACCATGTCACGTGCTGTCTGTCCCAATTCAGATTATTTCTAGGTTCGTCTGTTAGGACTAAAACTTCCTGTATCAGTCTGTGTGTGGACGTGCGTCTTCATTTCTCTTGGGTGGGGTGAAGTGCCACACCCAGGAACAGAACGGCTAGATCCTAAGGTGTAACTGGGTAAGAACTGCCAACCTGTTTTCCAACGTTCCCTCCAGAAAGGTACGGGCCCCAGGGGCTCCACAACCTCTCCAGCTCTTGGTAGCATCAGTCCTTTTAATCTCAGCCATTCTAGTGGGTGTGCACGGGATCTGATTTTAAGTAGCATTTTCCTAACGGTCAGTGATAGTGAACATCTTTTCATGTGATTATTTGCCATCTGTATATTTTCTTTGGTGAAATGTCTTCTTGCTGTTAAGCTTTAAGAGTTTTAAAAAATATGTATATTCAGGATATAAGTCTTTTACTGTCAGTATGTTCTACAAATACTCCTTCCCAGTCTCTAGCTTGACTTTTCACTTTCTTAAAAATATACTTCTAAGAGTTAAAGTTTAAAATTTTACTTTGAAGTCCAATATATCAATTTCTTCCTTTATGGTTTGTGGTTTTTGTGTCCTAAGAAATTTTTACCTACCCAATAACCTTCAAAAAAATTTTTTTTGCAATAAGTTCTTTTTTTAATTGAAGTATAAGTGACTTATCACCTTACATTGGTTTCAGGTGTACAACATAATGATTCAATATTTATATATATTTCTTTTCTTTTTAAATTTATTTATTTAATTTATTTTTGGCTGCGTTGGGTCTTTGTTACTGTGCATGGGCTCTCTCTAGTTGCAGCGAGCGGGGGCCACTCTTTGTTGCGGTGCGCAGGCCCCTCATTGTGGCGGCCTTTCCCGTTGTGGAGCACAGGGCTCTAGGCGCACAGGCTTAGTTGCTCTGCAGCATGTGGGATCTTCCTGGACCAGGACTCGAACCCATGTCCCCTGCATTGGCAGGCAGATTCTTAACCACTGCGCCACCAGGGAAGCCCTATTTATATATATTTCATCTTCATTTTTTTTTTTTTTTGCGCTACGCGGGCCTCTCACTGTTGTGGCCTCTTCTGTTGCAGAGCACAGGCTCCGGATGCGCAGGCTCAGCGGCCATGGCTCACGGGCCTAGCCGCTCCGCGGCATGTGGGATCTTCCCGGACCGGGACACGAACCCGTGTCCCCTGCATCGGCAGGCGGACTCTCAAGCACTGCGCCACCAGGGAAACCCCTCATCTTCATTTTTAAAGAATACTTTTGCTGGGTATAGAATTCTCGGTTGACAGCTTTTTCTTCCATTCAGCATCCAACTATGTCATTCTGATGTTTTCTGGTCTCCACTGTATCTGATGAGAAGTCGTCTATTAACTGTATCATTGTTTCCCTGCATGTAATGTGTTGCTTTTCTTTTACCAATTTCAAAATCTTCTCTTTATCTTTGCTTTTAGCAGTTTGACTGTGATGTAAACCTATGTGTAGTTTTCTTTGTGTTTATTCTATTTAGTGTTTGTCAAGCATTTTGAATCTGTAAATTAACATTTTCCAGCAAAGGATATATTTTCAGTTATTATTTCTTCAAAAATTTTTTTCTGCCTTTCTCTTCTCTTTCTGGGACTCCAATTACATGTCTGATCGACTGATATTGTATTGCAGGTCTCTGAGGTTTTGTTCCTTTTTCTTCAGTTTTTTCTCCTCTGTTCTTTATCCTGAGTAATTCTTATCTTCAAGTTCACTGATTCTCTCTTTTGCCATCTTAATTGTGCTGTTGAACCCCTCTTGTGAAGTCTTCATTTCAGCTACTATGTTTTTCAACTTGAGAATTTTGACTTGTTTTTTTGGTTTTTACTTTTATTTTTTATTATTTTTATTTTTTTTATTTTTGGCTGCATTGGGTCTTCATTGCTGTGTGCGGGCTTTCTCTAGTTGCCATGAGCAGGGGGTACTCTTCACTGTGGTGTGCAAGCTTCTCATAGCGGTGGCTTCTCTTGTTGCGGAGCATGGGCTCTAGGCGCACAGGCTTCAGTAGTCGTGGTGCAGGCTCAGTAGTTCTGGCACACAGGCTTAGTTGCTCCACGGTATGTGGGATCTTCCTAGACCAGGGATCGAACCCATGTCCCCTGCACTGTCAGGCATATTCTTAACCACTGCGCTACCAGGGAAGTCCCGACTTGGTTCTTTTCTACAGTTTCAGTTTCTCTGTTGAGAGGCCCTATTTGTTCACTCATTAATATCACATTTTCCTTTACATTTTGGAATACATTTATAATAGCAAGTTGAAGTCTTTGTTTTGTTAAATCTACATCTGGGCCTGCTCAGAGTCAGCACCTACTTATTGCTTTTTTTCTCCCTGAGTGTGGGTCATGTTTATTTTCCCATTTCTTTGCATATCTAATAATTCTTGGTTGAAGACTGGCCATCATAGATAATATGATGTAGCACTCTAGAATCCGTTTTGTTCTTCCGAGGATTAGTGCTCTTGTTTGAGTAGGGACTGAATGTGTCTGGACTCAGACTACCATATCTTCCATGCCACCCTGACCCCCACCCTGCAGTGCAGAAGCTGAGGTCTCCACTTGGTTTTCCAGCTTCCAGCTGCTGCTGACTTAGCCTGGTCCTCTGAAGGTTTTCCCTGCACTTGAGTAGCCTGGCAGTCAGTCAAGGGTTTGGGCAGAATTTATACTGAGATTTGGGGACTAACCCTCTCTTTGGCTCCCTTGTTTTTGGAGCTCCCCTCCTAAGTTTCGGGTTGCTTTGCCAGCCCTCAATTATGTCCTTGATACCTCCAACTAGCAAGACTTCTGTCTTCCACTGCCTGCCCTGTGCGGGCTGGGGAATGTGCTCAGTCACTGGCACAGCAAACTCACAAATCTCTCCAGGAACAGTCCTGTCTTTGCAAGACAGATCTTTTTTTGGCTGGGCTCCCTGGGGTCTCAGGTATGCCTGTGTACTTTAGTGGTTAGCCAGAGATTTGGGATTTTTGTATATTATTTTAAAATCCTTCCATACCTCAAGGATATAAAGATATTTTTTACTTTCTTATAAAAGTTAGACGAATTTTTGCCTTTCCTATTTAAGCCTTTAATCAATCCAAAATTCTTTTTTGTGTAGAATAGGGATCTAATTTTATTTTTTTCGTATGATAACCAATTGATCCTCCTTTCCTCAGTCATCTGCAATGCCGTCTATGTCATAAATCAGGTGTTCATACATATGAGTATATCTGGGCTTTTTCACTCTCTCTTGTGTCAATGTGTTTATCCTTGTGCCAATACCAAACTGTCTTAATTACTACAGCTTTATAGTAAGTCATGCTATTTGGGGCTTCCCTGGTGGCGCAGTGGTTGGGAGTCTGCCTGCCGATGCAGGGGACGCGGGTTCGTGCCCTGGTCTGGGAGGATCCCGCATGCCGCGGAGCGGCTGGGCCCGTGAGCCATGGCCGCTGGGCCTGCGCGTCTGGAGCCTGTGCTCCGCAACGGGAGAGGCCACAACGGTGAGAGGCCCGCGTACCGCAAAAAAAAAAAAAAAAAAAAAGTCATGCTATTTGGTAAGATAAGTTCTTCTTATTTTTCTTTGATAGGAATATCTTTGCTATTCTTATGCTTTTGCTCTTCTACATACACTTTATTTACTTTTTTCCAGATTTATTGAGCTATGACATACATCATAAAAGTTTAAGGTATGTGATGTGATCTGATACATGTATATATTGCAAAATGATTAGCACAGTAAGTTTAAGTTACTATCTCCATCACCCCACATAACTGCCACTTTTTTGTGGTGAGAACATTTAAGATTTACTCTCTTAGCAACTTTTAAGTGTATAATACAGTATTGTTAATGATAGTCACCATGCTAATTCTTTTTTTAAAGATTTTTTTGATGTGGACCATTTTACTGAATTTGTTACAATATTGCTTCTGTTTCATGTTTTGGTTTTCAGGCCATGAGGCATGTGGGATCTTAGCTCCCCGACCAGGGACCGAACCTTCACCCCCTGCATTGGAAGGCAAAGTGTTAACCAGTGGACCACCAGGGAAGTCCCACCATGCTAAGTTTTAATCCATTCATCCACTCTGTGCCTTCTGATTGGAGTATTCAATTCATTTACATGTAAAGTAATTATTGCTAGGTAAGGACTTACTAATGACATCTTGGTAGTTGTTTTCTAACTGTTTTGTAGTTTCCCTGTTACTTTCTTCCCCTCTTACTATCTTCCTTTGTGAATTAATGATTTTCCATAGTAGTAAGCTTTGGTTCTCTCCTTTCTCTTTTGTGTATCTAGCATAGCTTTTTGCTTTGTGGTTACCATGAGGCTTCCATAGATATAAGAGTCTATTTCAAGGTGATAACTTTGAATGCATATGAAAACTCTACCCTTTTACTTCCCGCCTGACATTTAATGTTTTTGATATCACAATTTACCTCTTTTTATATTATGTATCTGTTAACAAATAATTGTAGCTATGGTTTTTAAAAAATACTTTTGTCCTTTAACCTTTAGAGTTAAGTGGTTAATGTACCACCATCTTACTGTATTTGAGTAGTCTGATTTTGACTATCTACTTACTATGTTTTCATGTTACTAATTAGCATCCTTTCATTTCAGCTTGAAGACTCCTTCCAACATTTCTTATAAGGCAGCTCTAGTGGTGATGAACTTCCCCAGCTTTGGTTTGTCTGAGAAAGTCTTTTTTTCTCTTTCATTTCTGAAGACCAACTCTGCCAGATAAAGTATTCTTGGTTGGCAGTCTTTTTCTTTTACCACTTTGAATACATCATCTCACTGTCTCCTGTCCTGCAAGCCTTCTGCTGAGAAATCCACTGATAGCCTTATGGGGGTTCCCTTGTATGTGAGGAATTTTTTGTCTTTTCCTGCTTTTAAAATTTCGTCTCTGTCTTTGATTTCAGACAGTTTTATTATAATGTGTCTTGGAGAAGATAGTTTGGGGTTAAAACTTGGGGGGGAACCGATGAACTTTGTCATCTTGGATATCCAAATCTCTCCTCAGATTTGGGAAGTTCTCCATTTTAAATAAGCTTTCTGCCTGCTTCTCCCTCTCTTCTCCTTCTGGGATGCCAGTAATGTGTAGATTGTTTCTTTTAATGGTGTCCCATAGCTCACATAGGCTTTCTTCACTCTTTTTCCTTTGTTCTCCTCTGACTGCGTAGTTTCAAATGACCTATCATTGAGTTCACAGAATCTTTCTTCTGCTTTGCCAAGCCTGCTGTTGATGTCCCAGTTGCATTTTCCATTTCATTCATTGTAATATTCAGCTCCAGAATTTGTATGGTTAGGATTCCTATCTCTCTGTTAAACCTCTCATTTCTTTCACATATTGTTTTCCTTATTTCGCTGAGCTGTCCTTCTGTGTTTTCTTGTAGCTCACTGAGCTTCCTTCAAACAACTGTCTTGAACTTTTTATCAGGCAAATCTTTGGAGTTGGTTACTGGAAAATTATTGTGTTCCTTTGGTGGTGTCATGTTTCCTCGATTTTTCAAGTTCCTTGAAGTCTTGTGTTGCTGTTTCTGCATTTGAGGAAGCAGTCACCGCCTCCAGTTTTTACTGACTGGTTTTTGGAGAGAAATACGTTCCATCAGTCCTGCTAGGGATTCTGAGGCTTTCTCAGACCTTTCCTTGGATACACCTGCTTCACATGTCTTCCTTGATCCTACAAAGCCAGGCTGAGTGCTGACAGCCTCCAGTTTGCTTGCCTTACTGAGGGTGGTGCTGAATGCTCGTCTGTGTGCTTTCCCAATCCCACAGGGTCAGGCTGGCTTCCTACGTGTGCTCACTAGCTTTATGCCAGGAATCAACACTGCCACAATTGGAGGTAAGCTACGGGAGCTGGCCATAAGGTGCAGGCATATGTGGGTGAGGCATGAAGAATGTTGGCGTGTCTGAGGGCCAGTTGGGGAGATCTGCAAGTGAAGAGCCCCCACCAGCTTACTGGCAGGCTTCCTGATAGAGTTTGCAAGGGGGTTAGTAGGATTTGTGTTCCTTTGATGCCATCTGAGAGCCCTGAGTGCTACTCTCCCAGCCACTCCCCACCCCTGGTCATACAGCACACCTGAATATTCTAGATGGAGCGAGAAAGAAGTAGGTCTTTTTGGCAGCAGTCAGTGCAGCTGGAGCAGCTGGGCACTTACACGCTGTCGCTCTTCCCCATGGGACAAATCTCAGGCTAAGAAGGTCTCTCTTGGCACTGAGCTGTGCCACCTCGGGGGAGTGGTGACATGGGTAAAGTGAACCTGTCCCTCTCACCCTCTTCAATGCATCCAGTCGTGGGTATTTTTTTTCCAACAGCATGACTCCTGTACTTCCACAAAGGCCCTCTCGCCTGTGGGTGACAGTCTAAACTGGAGTTCTTTGACAGAACACTCTTATTCTGCCATGTTGGTGACATCATGCCACGCACCCCTGTGGATGCTAGGCCTGGACAGTCTCTTCTTTGTTCTCTCTCAGTCAGGCACTGACATCTTTGTCCCCTTATCTCCTACATACATTTTAGAGTCAGCTTGTCAAGTTCCTCAAACATCTTCTTCTGGATTTAGAGAGAACTAATATTTTTAGGCTGTTGTCTTCCAGTCATTAACAGAATTGTTCTCTTAATTTAGGTCTTATTTTTTAACAAAGTTTTAAAATGTTTTCTATAAAAGCCTTAAGAAGTGAACTCTTGAGTAAGGTCCAGAGTGAAACAGTAGGCAGTTACTGGCTTCTGTTTACCAGTCAGAATGACGTTATTTGAGACATTTCTTAAGATTTAGGGAAATCAGTACAAGGATCAGAACACTGAGAAGTTTAACCTGTCCTCTAGGATGTTTTTTTAAAAATTTAATTAAATTTAATTAATTAATTTATTTTTGGCTGCGTTGGGTCTTGGTTGTTGTGCGCGGGCTTTCTCTAGCTGTGGCGAGCGGGGGCCACTCTCCGCTGCGGTGCGCAGGCTTCTGATTGTGGCGGCCCCTCCTGTTGCGGAGCACAGGCTCTAGGCACGCGGGCTTCAGCAGCCGCAGCACGCCGGCTCAATAGCACAAGCTCAGCAGTTGTGGCGCATGGGCTCAGTTGCTCTGCGGCATGTGGAATCCTCCAGGACCAGGGCTCGAACCCATGTCCCCTGCATTGGCAGGCGGATTCTTAATCACTGCGCCACTAGGGAAGCCCCCTCTAGGATGTTTTTATGTACATATGCAGTATTTGTAAGAAAAAATATTGTAAAGAAAAGAGTAAGTGCTAATGGATACTCACCCCAGCCTTAATGTAAATGGGAGAAAATACCCAACCAAAAACACAGAGCATAAATGGAGCCTGAAACCAAGAAAAGAAGAGCAATTAAATCAGGGTCCCACCTAGGCTAAGCTCTTAAATGAGATGCAAGCTCAGTTACTGTTTTGAGCCCAATAAATGTCATACTTACTGGGGACCTTGCAAATAACAGCCCAAGCGTAAGCCTTCCAGTACAACAAACTTAACTTATAGGCACTTGATCTTTGCCTATAAAGGGGTGCATTCTTAATTTAGGGGGGGTTAACTGAGCCAATTTTCAAGATATTTATTAAAATTTATTGTTTGCCTACTTCCAGATAGAAACGAAGGTGGCTTATAATTAAACAAAAAAGATAGTAAAAAAAAAAAAATCAGAAACCATTCAGAGAAATAGTAGAGAAACTACACCAAAATTTACACAAGCTATTGAAATTAAGTAATGCATTTGTCTCTGGCTTTCTTTACAATGAAGGGGTAAGTTGAATATATGAAGGAGATGTGAACGAATTCTGAGAACTAAATGGTGGTACAGACCAGGGCGCCTTATCAGGTCTGGAATTAACTTTGTTAGAAGTATTGTTTATTTCTGTAGTCTACCAGAGGAAAAGATGAGACCCAGAAAGTAGGGAGCTTTCTGATTTATCAAAAAAAAAAAAAAAAAAAAGGGCCAGGTGATTTATATAGAGATAGGTTAATTAACCCAAGACACATAAATTCACTTATATTAATTTAGGTGAACAAATTCTATGTCCTATAACAAATATATTCCACAGATTAGATAAATAATCCATTTTATAAGTTTTATAGTTGAAACCTGGTATTCATAGGCAATCAGTTAGGAGTTTTGTAGTAACCAGCTGAATATCTCAAAGAACCCAGTTGAGCCTATTCTCAGTATACAGTTGACCCGTGAACAATGTGGGGGTTAGGGGTGCCGACCCCCATGTAGTCAAGCTAAATCTGTCTCAAAAACAAAGGAGTTGGTAAATGACTCATCCAAGGGCAGGAAGCTGAAACAACCTGGATAGAATCAGGACTCAAACCCTAGTTCTTTTGATTCCACATATTGTGATCTCTAATTGAACACAAACTTTTCCCCACACTTAGTCAATTTAAAGATCTGTGAAATGAAAATAAAAGTACTATATTTATTGAAAAAAATCTGCGTGTAACCGGACGTGCATGGTTTAAATACATGTTTTTCAAGGGTCAACTGCATACTGCAAATGTGTACATACCGATAAATACACACACATATATACATATATATCTGTATGTCTATGTACACACACACATATATGTGTATGTATGTATGTATATGTTTATGTACATATATATTTAAGTGTTAATATGATCTTTTCCCTACCTGACTAGTCTCCTAACTGTATTCCTATGGTCCTTGGAATGTAAACATTCTCTATCTCTTCATTACTTTACTAAGAAGAATGAAAACTAGCACAATCTTGTTGAGAAATCAAAGACTTGGTTCCCTTCTTCCATGACTTCTCAAGGAGTCTTTAATAGTTACTCAGGGTTGAAAGCAAGTTTTTATGTTTCATTTGGACAATGATAAAGGTGGAGGTTAGCTGCTACAGAAGGCACTACTTACATTCCACTCGAAGGCCCCAACAGCAATCCCTGAAGACACCCCCGTTCCAGCCAGGCCCATAAAGTGCCCAGTGCCAATATTCGAGGCAAAAAGAAAAGCACCTATCTGAAAATCAAAAGACAATTACAGATCAGAACTTTTAGTCCAACTTCAAAAACTAATTCTCACAAATATAAACCCAACCTGAATTTTATCAATACATTTCCTCAAAAGGGATTATACCCTGGGCAGAATTCCCATTCATATTTTTTCTATACAAACCCTAACCATAAATTAGAAGCCAAGTAAAAAGGGATGAAGGGAAAAAAGTATTACTGCATTCTTATGTTGCCACCCTCCACACGCTCCACTGACTTATTTGCAACTGCAGAAATATTAGCAGGAGTATAATTTCATCACTGTTTGAAGTAATTTAAAAATATTAACAATCTAACTGATTGTAAGAGAATGGTTAAAATACTAAGGTACATGAATATGATGAAATACAATGTAGCATACAGAAAGGATAAAGGAACTCTATTAAATGATAAAAAATAATGTAAACAATATTGATAATATAATCTCATTAAAATTTTGTGTGGGCATACTACACTTATGCACATGTATGTTTATATATAGATGGGAGTGATTCTGGTAGTATATATATAAAAATACTTCTGGGGACTGGAATCATGGTTATAGAAATAGAATGGTAAGAAAATCTCAAGTTCCATACTTGGATTGTAACTTTTTTTTTTTTTTTTTTACAACCAGCATATGTTACTTTCAAAATAAAAAATCCCAGAGGCATTTAAAATGAACAAAATCCCTCCTAAACCAATTTTAATTGAGTAGAGATAGCCACTCCATTCCAAATCCAAATCCAAATCCTGTGCTATATTTGACACAAGATACACTTAAAACCAAATTATTAAGAGAGACTAAAAATAACAAAGCCTTTTAGATAAAAGCAAACAAAAAACACAGCATTGACGATATTAACATAAGATAAAGTAGGATTCAATACCAAAAGCATTAAATATGACAGAGGTTTTTTTGTTTTGTTTTTAAACCATGAAACATAAAATGCACTAGTAAGACATAACTGAGAACATACAGGCACCCAAACACTGTAGCACCAACAAATATAAGGCAAAAAAAATCTTGGAAGAGGCACATAATAATTACTCAAGCAGTTATTTTTACTATTAGGAATGTCTGCTACCTTTATCATAATAATGAAAAACTATACACAATCTAAATTGCCCAATAATATGTTACATAAATGGTGGAATGTCCATATGATATAACACTATACAACTGTGTATAAATATAAAATATCTCTATCTACCTACCTATGTTTATATAGACCTAGGAAGACATTAGTACATTAAATGTACCTTCATTAATTCAGTAACTATTAATAAATGTCCACTGCCAACTATGTGTCAGTGTTGTACATACTAGGAATACATCAGTGAGTAAAACAGACAAATCCCTGCCCTCATGAAGCTAACATTCTCTTAGGAAGAAGAGGATGAACAAGATAAATTAGGGGATTATTTTATAGCACAATAGACAGTGATAAATAGTAAAGTCCTACAGAGAAGAAGAAAGGTTAGAAAACAGACAGGCACGGAAGCAATCTAAATCTCCATCAACAGACGAATGGATAAAAAAGATGTGGTACATATATATAATGGAATGTTACTCAGCCATAAAAAGAAACAAAATTGGGCCATTTGTAGAGACGTGGATGGACCTAGAGACTGTCACACAGAGTGAAGTCAGAAAGAGAAAAACAAATATCATATATTAACACATAAATGTGGAATCCGGAAAAATGGTACAGATGAACCGGTTTGCAAGGCAGAAATAGAGACACAGATGTAGAGAACAAATGTACGGGCACCAAGGGGGGAAAGGGGTGGTGGGATGAACTGGGAGATTGGGATTGACAAATATACACTAATATGTATAAAATAGATAACTAATGAGAACCTGCTGTATAGCACAGGGAACTCTACTTCACCTCGCTGTACAGTAGATACTAACACAACATTGTAAAACAACTATACCCCAATTGAAAAAAAAAAAAGAAAGAAGGCAGGCAGGAAGTGCTGTGCAGTACAGTGGGCAGGGCCAACTTTCTCTGAGGAGGTGTGAGGGGCAAGCCAAGGGTACCTGTGAGAGCAGAGAGCCTCCAGGCAGAGGGAGCAGCAGGGGCAATGGCCCTGAGGCAGAAGCACGGCTAAATTGTTCAAGGTCACAGAGGTAAGGAGGTGCAGATCATCTGTGGCCTAACATAGGCTGGGCTTTCATTCTGGGTGACATGAGAGCCCCCAGAGGGTTTTAAGCAGTCAGGTGACGTGGTCTGACCCTTCAGCTGCTTTGTTGAGGTTGGACGTGGAGGAGCACAAGTGGAAGGAGGGCGCCGAGAGAAGAGGCTACTACAATCAATCCAGGTGAGGGTGTCGGCAGCATGGGCCTGGAGGCACTGATGCGAAGGGGTCGGATTTCAAATCTGTTTTTTAAATCGAGTCCCAGGACTTCCTGATGGATTGGAAGTTGGGGTGAGAGAGAATAGAGTCTAACACTACTCCACGGGTGTCAACCTGAGCAGCTAGAAGGATGGAGTTGCCGTTCAGGGACAGGGAAGACGGCAGGAGTAGAAGATGTGCAGAATGCATGTTCCATGTGCAAGACCTGACAGACCTTTCTAGTCAGGTGTCAAACAGGCAGCGGGATGCACAAGACTGGAGTTGAGGGAGAGAGCTGGGACTTGCTACCATTCTAGCAAGTTGTCTTTAATGCCATGTCGCCAGGCGTGTGAGTGTAACTGGAAAGGAGACACCAGGGTCTGGCCCTGGGGAGGTCCAGCATTCAGCAGCCAGGGAGATGGGAAAGAACCAGCCAGGGGGACCTCGAACGAGTGGCTGGTGAAGCAGCAGGAATGGAGGAGAGCCAGGCGGCAACGTGGGGTGGGAGGGATGACTGAATTTCAGTTTCACCACCGCCAAGCTAGGTAAGAGGAGGCCTGAGCACCGACCACATGAATAAGCCACATGGAGGGTCCAGACAAGAGCAATTCGTACCCATCGGATATCTGCTGACTGAATAAAAGTATAAAAGAAAGAAAGTTGAAGTGGCAAAATTACTTTTATTTCCATTTTCTTTATCAATACCATAATACAGTTTGTTCACTAAGCAATAATTCTAATAGCGTAAAAAGAAGTCACATCCAGGATTGGTTCAAGATGGAGGAGTAGAAGGACGTGTGCTCACTCCCTCTTGCAAGAGCACTGGAATCACAACTAACTGCTGAACAATCATCGACAGGAAGACACGGGAACTCACCAAAAAAGATACCCCATATCCAAAGACAAAGGAGAAGCTGCAATGAGGCGGTAGGAGGGGTGCAATCATGATAAAATCAAATCCCATAACCGCTGGGTGGGTGACTCACAAACTAGAGAACAATTATACCACAGAAGCCCGCCCACTGGAGTGAAGGTTCTGAGCCCCACGTCAGGCTTCCCAACCTAGGCGTCTGGCAACGGGAAGAGGAATTCCCAGAGAATCAGACTTTGAAGTCTAGCAGGATTTGATTGCAGAACTTTGACAGGACTGAGGGAAACAGAGACTCCACTCTTGGAGCACACACACAGAGTAGTGTGCACATCAAGACCCAGGGGGAAGGAGCCGTGACCCCACAGGAGACTGAACCAGACCTACCTGCTAGTGTTGGAGGGTCTCCTGCAGAGGCAGGGGCAGGCTGTGGCTTACCCTGGAGACAAGGACACTGGCAGCATAAGTTCTGGGAAGTATTCCTTGGCATGAGCCCTCTTGGGAGTCCGCCATTAGCCCCACCAAAGAGCCTGTAGCCTCCAGTGCTGGGCTGCCACAGGCCAAACAACCACCAGGGAGGGAACTCAGCCCCACCCATCAGCAGACAAGCAGATTAAAGTTTTACTGAGCTCTGCCCACCAGAGCAACACCCAGCTCTACCCACCACCAGTCCCTCCCATCAGGAAGCTTGCACAAGCCTCTTAGATAACCTCATCCACCAGAGGGCAGACAGCAGAAGCAAGATGAACTAAAATCCTGTAGCCTGTGGAACAAAAAACACATTCACAGACAGACAAAATGAAATGGCAGGGGATGATGTACCAGATGAAGGAACAAGATAAAACCCCAGAAAAACAATTAAGTGAAGTGGAGATAGGCAACCTTCCAGAAAAATAATTCAGAATAATGATAGTAAAGATGATCCAGGACCTCGGAAAAATAATGGAGGCAAAGATCAAGAAGATGCAAGAAATGTTTAGCAAAGACCTAGAAGAGGGCTTCCCTGGTGGTGCAGTGGATAAGAATCTGCCTGCCAATGCAGGGGAAACAGGTTCAGTCCCTGGTCTGGGAAGATCCCACGTGCCGCGGAACAACTAACCCTGTGTGCCACAACTACTGAGCCTGTGCTCTAGAGCCCACGAGCCACAACTACTGAAGCCCGCGTGCCTAGAGCGCATGCTCTGCAACAAGAGAAGCCACCATGATGAGAAGCCCGAGCACTGCGATGAAGAGTAGCCTCCGTTTGCTGCAACTAGAGAAAGCCCATGTGCAGCAACGAAGACCCAACGTAGCCATAAATAAATAAATAAAATTTTTTTAAATTAAAAAAACAATTCAAAGACCTAGAAGAATTAAAGAACAAACAATTAGAAGAATGAAAGAACAAACAAACAGAGATGAACAATATAATAAATGAAATGAAAAATACACTAGAAGGAATCAATAGCAGAATAACTGAGGCAGAAGAATGGATAAGTGACCTGGAAGACAGAATGGTGGAATTCACTACTGCAAAACATAATAAAGAAAAAAGAATGAAAAGAAATGAAGACAGCTTAAGAGACCTCTGGGACAACATTAAATGCAATAACATTTGCATTAGAGGGGTCCCAGAAGGAGAAGAGAGAGAGAAAGGATCTGAGAAAATATTTGAAGAGATTATAGTCAAAAACGTCCCTAACATAGGAAAGGAAATAGCCACCCAAGTCCAGGAAGTGCAGACAGTCCCAGGCAGGATAAACCCAAGGAGAAACACACCAAGACACATAGTAATCAAATTGTCAAGAATTAAAGACAAAGAAAAATTATTAAAAGCAACAAGGGAAAAACAACAAATTACATACAAGGGAACTCCCATAAGGTTAACAGCTGATTTCTCAGCAGAAACTCTACAAGTCAGAAGGGAGTGTCACGATATATTTAAAGTGATGAAAGGGAAGAAACTACAACCAAGATTACTCTATCTGGCAAGGATCTCATTCAGATTTGACGGAGAAATCAAAAGCTTTACAGACAAGCAAAAGCTAAGAGAATTCAGCACCACCAAACCAGCTCTACAACAAATGCTAAAAGAGCTTCTCTAAGTGGGAAACAAAAGAGAAGAAAAGGACCTACAAAAACAAACCCCAAACAATTAAGAAAATGGCAGTAGGAACATATATATTGATAATTACCTTAAACGTGAATGGGTTAAATGTTCCAACCAAAAGACACAGGCTTGCTGAATGGATACAAAAACAAGACCCATATATATGCTGTCTACAAGAGACCCACTTCAGACCTAGGGACACATACAGACTATAAGTGAGGGGATGGAAAAAGATATGCCATGCAAATGGAAATCAAAAGAAAGCTGGAGTAGCGATACTCATATCAGATAAAATAGACTTTAAAATAAAGAATGTTACAAGACACAAGGAAGGAAATTACATAATGATCAAGGGATCAATCCAAGAAGATGACATAACAATTATAAATATATATGCTCCCAACATAGGAGCACCTCAATACATAAGGCAAATGCAAATGCTAACAGCTATCAAAGAGGAAATTGACAGTAACACAATAATAGTGGGGGACTTTAACACCTCACTTACACCAATGGACAGATCATCCAGACAGAAGATTAATAAGGAAACACAAGCTTTAAAATGACACAATAGACCAGATAGATTTAATTGATATTTATAGGACATTCCATCCCCAAACAGCAGATTACACTTTCTTCTCAAGTGCACATGGAACATTCTCCAGGATAGATCACAACTTGGGTCACAAATCAAGCCTCAGTAAACTTAAGAAAACTGAAGTCATATCAAGCATCTTTTCTGACCACAACGCTATGAGATTAGAAATCAATTACAGGGAAAAAAACACAAACACATGGAGGCTTAACAATACGTTACTAAATAAGCAAGAGATCACTGAAGAAATCAAAGAGGAAATCAAAAAATACCTAGAGACAAATGACAACGAAAACACGACAATCCAAAACCTATGGAATGCAGCAAAAGCAGTTCTAAGAGGGAAGTTTATATCAATACAATCCTACCTCAAGAAACAAGGAAAATCTCAAATAAACAATCTAACCTTACATCTAAAGGAACTAGAGAAAGAAGAACAAACAAAACCCAAAGATAGTAGAAGGAAAGAAATCATAAAGATCAGAGTAGAAATAAATGAAATAGAAACAAAGAAAACAACAGCAAAGATCAATAAAACTACAAGCTGGTTCTTTGAGAAGATAAACAAAATTGATAAACCTTTAGCGGGACTCATCAAGAAAAAGAGGGAGAGGACTCAAATCAATAAAATTAGAAATGAAAAAGGAGAAGTTACAATGGACATTGCAGAAATACAAAGCATCCTAAGAGACTATGACAAGCAACTCTATGCCAATAAAATGGACAACCTGGAAGAAATGGACAAATTCTTAGAAAGGTATAACCTTCCAAGACTGAACCAGGATGAAATAGAAAATATGAACAGACCAATCACAAGAAATGAAATTGAAACTGTGATTAAAAATCTTCCAACAAACAAAAGTCCAGGACCAGATGGCTTCACAGGTGAATTCTATCAAACATTTAGAGAAGAGCTAACACCCATCCTTCTCAAACTCTTCCAAAAAATTGCAGAGGAAGGAACACTCCCAAACTCATTCTACAAGGCCACCATCACCCTGATACCAAAACCAGACAGAGATACTACAAAGAAAAAGAAAATTACAGACCAATATCACTGACGAATATAGATGCAAAAATCCTCAACAAAATACTAGCAAACAGAATCCAACAACACATTAAAAGGATCATACACCATGATCAAGTAGGATTTATCTCAGGGATGCAAGGATTCTTCAATATATGCACATCAATCAATGTGATACATCATATTAACAAATTGAAGAAAAAAAACCATATGATCATTCTCAATAGATGCAGAAAAAGCTTTTGACAAAATTCAACACTGATTTATGATAAAACCTCTCCAAAATGTGGGTACAGAGGGAACCTACCTCAACATAATAAAGGCCATATACGACAAACCCATAGCAAACGTCATTCTCAATGGTGAAAAACTGAAAGCATTTCCTCTAAGATCAGGAACAAGACAAGGATGTCCAGTCTCACCACTATTATTCAACATAGTTTTGAAAGTCCTAGCCATGGCAATCAGAGAAGAAAAAGAAATAAAAGGAATCCAAATTGGAAAAGAAGAAATAAAACTGTCACTGTTTGCTGATGACATGATACTATACATAGAAAATCCTAAAGATGCCACTAGAAAACTACTAGAGCTAATCGATGAATCTGGTAAAGTTGCAGGACACAAAATTAATGCACAGAAATCTCTTGCATTCCTATACACAAACGATGAAAGCTCAGAAAGAGAAATTAAGGAAACAATCCCATTCACCATTGCAACAAAAAGAATAAAATACCTAGGAATAAACCTACCTAAGGAGGTAAAAGACCTGTACTCAGAAAACTATAAGTCACTGACGAAAGAAATTAAAGATGACACAAGCAGATGGAGAGATATACCATGTTTGTAGATTGGAAGAATCAATACTGTGAAAATGACTATACTACCCAAAGCAGTCTACAGATTCAATGCAATCCCTATCAAATTACCAACGGCATTTTTTACAAAACTAGAACAAAAAAATCTTAAAATTTGTATGGAGACACAAAAGACCCTGAATAGCCAAAGCAATCTTGAGGGGAAAAAATGGAGCTGGAAGAATCAGACTCTCTGACTTCAGACTATACTACAAAGCTACAGTAATCAAGACAATATGGTACCAGCACAAAACCAGAAATATAGATCAATGGAACAGGATAGAAAGCCCAGAGATAAACCCATGCACCTATGGTCAACTAATCTATGACAAAGGAGGCAAGGATATACAATGGAGAAAAGAAAAGTCTCTTCAATAAGTGGTGCTGGGAAAACTGGACAGCTACATGTAAAAGAATGAAATTAGAACACTAACACCATGCACAAAAATAAACTCAAAATGGATTAAAGACCTAAAAGGAAGACAGGACACTATAAAACAGAGGAAAACATAGGAAGAACACTCTTTGACATAAATCACAGCAAGATCTTTTTTGACCCACCTCCTAGAGTAATGGAAATAAAAACAAAAATAAACTAATGGGACCTAATGAAACTTAAAAGCTTTTGCACAGCAAAGGAAACTATAAACAAGACAAAAAGACAACTCTCAGAATGGGAGAAAATATTTGCAAATGAATCAACAAAAGATTAATCTCCAAAATATATAAACAGCTCATGCAGCTCAATATTAAAACAAAACAACCCAATCAAAAAATGGGCAGAAGACCTAAATAGACATTTCTCCAAGAAGACATACAGATGGCCAAGAGGCAAATGAAAAGCTGCTTAACATCACTAATTATTAGAGAAGTGCAAATCAAAACTACAATGAGATATCACCTCACACTGGTTAGAATGGGCATCATCAGAAAATCTACGAACAACAAATTCTGGAGAGGGTGTGGAGAAAAGGAAACCCTCTTGCATTGTTGGTGGGAATGTAAATTGATACAGCCACTATGGAGAACAGTATGAAGGTTCCTTAAAAAAACTAAAAATAGAATTACCATATGACCCAGCAATCCCACTACTGGGCATATACCCAGAGAAAACCATAATTCAAAAAGACACATGCACCCCAATGTTCATTGCAGCACTATTTACAGTAGCCAGGTCATGGAAGCAACCTAAATGCCCATCGACAGATGACTGGATAAAGAAGATGTGGTACATATATACAATGGAACTCAGCCATAAAAAGGGTCATTTGTAGAGACGTGGATGGACCTAGAGACTGTCATACAGAGTGAAGTAAGTCAGAAAGAGAAAAACAAATATCGTATATTAACGCATATATGTGGAATCTAGAAAAATGGTACAGATGAACTGGTTTGCAAGGCAGAAATAGAGACACAGATGTAGAGAACAAACGTATGGACACCAAGGAGGGAGAGCGGGGGAAGGGTGGTGGTGGTGGGATGAATTGGGAGATTGGGATTGACATATTATACACCAACATGTATAAAACAGATAACTAATAAGAACCTGCTGAATAAAAATAAATAAATAAATAAAACCAAAAAACCAAAAAAAGAAGTCACATCCGACTCCCACTCTACACTGTGTGCTTCCAGAGGGCAGGACTCACTATGTTCTATCTGTGTCCCAGAACCTAGAACAATACCTTGTACTACCAGACACCTAGTAATGGTTACTGAACTACACTGAGCTGAATGGAAGAGTTAAGGGAAGTACTAATGAAATGACTTTCCTGATTTAGCAATTTCAAATTATTTGGGGGTAAAAGACATCCAAATTAAAGTAATAAATGAATCCACACACAGCCCCCACACTGGACTGCACATGCAAGGCACACTCACCTGCCACCATGCTAGATTTCAGCCAGCCAGGAAGAAGTCTTCTACTGTCCCACGACTGCTTGACAATACAGCCTTAAAAAAAGGGGTGGTGTTGGGGGGAATCCAAGAAACCAAACTGCTTCAAAGACACAGGTCTCACAAACAGATGACCTTCACTTATGGGTAAATGTCCTTTGCAGAGATTCCATTTCCCCTTCGTTCTTTTTAGGAACAGAGGTCTCTACCTGCTGAGTTAGAGGAGGGCCCACGGTCTCTCCCAGCTATGAGATCACATGGGCCTGTCCATTTCTCTACACTAGTGTGAAAATAATATTGCTGTATTTTTTCCCCCAATAGTTAACCAGTGCATGGTTCCCAGCAGAGTCTTGGAGATGAGTGGTTCAGCGAATGTATCAATTGACTGGGAATGGCAAAGCTGAACACCAGCCTAGCTTCTTCCGGGAGAGCAGTCACGTTGCCAAGACTATGATGTCCTCCCAACGCACCCAAGGGCTCTCTCCTCAGGTCCCCAGCTCTGATTCCCAGACTCCAGTACAGTCAAAAGATATTCCTGGGGATTTCCTGGATTGCCTAGGACTAGCAGGACCCACGGATGACCACTGGTTGACAAAAAAGTGTTTCTGTGGGAGACGTGAACTTATTACCACCATCTGGGGTATCTGCCTTATAATGGAGTCCTTTCACATCATAATGCTTTAAACCAAAGAACAACTCTAAATCAGACACATTAAGTTAGTCTCATTTCATCCATTCACTAAATATTTATCAAGAGCCCATTATGTTCAGAGCTGACCTTTCTTAAGGAAGGTATCAGCTGTATGTAGGGAGAGGTGCATTAGAACTTTTAAAAGGAATTTACAAAATGTTCTAAGATGAATAAAATCACTCTGTCTTCCCATTAAAGAAAGAACCAGACAGGAAGAGAGGAGGTCCTGGGAAGAGGGTGGTTATGCACATGTCCCTGCCTCCTCCTTCCTCCCTGCTCTTTCTGGAATAATCCACCAACCACAGCAGCCAGGCTGCTGGGGCAGAAGGTGCACCCACCACTTTCTCAAAGATCTTGGGGCTGAGACTGATAACAGAGGAAACAAACAAACAAAAGTGTAAGGTTTTTTCCCCTTTAACATCCTGCAGGAGCCAAGGCACCAGCAACAAAGAACAAGATTTCCTTGTGGGGGCTCAGCGGTCAGAAGCTGATGAAGGATTTCAGGAGTCCCATCTGTGCAAACGTGGGCAATTCTGTTCAGTGAGAAAAGGGTGGTTTGCTTAAGAACCAAAAGAAAATAAAGCTAGACTCCTTTATCACATTATATGCAAAAGGAAATCCCAGATGTTCTGGACATTTAAATTTCTTTTTAGCTTGCAGGATCTTAGTTCCCTGACCAGGGATTGAACCCGCGCCTCAGCAGTGAAAGCGCGCAGTCCTAACCACTGGACTATGAGGGAATTCCCTAAATATTTTTTAAAACCTATAAAATATTAGAAAAAATTTTAGAATAGTATTTGTACAATGTTGGAGTGGGTAAAAACTTTCCTAAGCAAGCCAGGAAATCTAGATGCAAAGGAAAAGAGAGACAGTAGACTTCTTCAAAGTGAAAACAAATCAGATGACAGAGAGACAACAGTAACAGAGTCTAGACCAGTGGTTCTCGACCAGGGGTGATTTTTGCCCCACTCCTCCAAGGGACATGTGGCAATGTCTGGAGACAGTTTTGGCTGTGAAGGGGCAGGACTTGGAGATACTTCTAAGCATCCTATAATACACAGGACAGACCTCCCACAACAAGGAATTATCTGGTCCCAAATGTCAGTAGTGCTGAGGTTGAGAACAACTGCTCTAGAAAATAAGAGTTTAGGAAAAACATACTGGCAACTCAAGTGACAGACAAGGTGATAAAAGCAAAGGCGAACAACTCAATTCATAAATGGGCACATAAACTGGCTATTCAACAGAAGAGGAAGATCAAAGGACAACAGGCTCACAAGAATATGGTCAATCTCATAGGAGGCTGAGTCTGGAAAGCGCAAATCAAAGTTGCAGTAACATACCACTACTCACTCATCACCCTGGGACCCCCCACAAAAATTAAATTAGTAGTAACAAACCAGGCTGGTGAAGGCCTGGGGAAAGAATGTGCTCATATGCTGCTTGTGAGAAATGTAAATCTCAACAAGCTTTGGGGATTGCCATTTAGTGATATCTGCTAAAATTTCAAGTAAACACACCCTTCCAACCCAGAAATTCCAATTTCGGGAATCCATGCTACACAGCTTAAAAGCACCAACACATTAAAAACAACAGCAGCAACAAAGACCCAATGCAGCCAAAGATAAACAAATAAATAAATATATTAAAAAAAAAACTTATTAAAAAACAACAACCTGGCAGCAATCTAAGTGTCAATGAGTAGGGAAGAGCTGAATCACACACGTGTTTGACTATTGTGTATCTAATAAAAACATGAGCTAGGACTTCCCTGGTGGTGCAGTGGTTAAGAATCCGTCTGCCAATGCAGGGGACATGGGTTTGAGACCCGGTCCAGGAAGATTCCACATGCTGCGGAGCAACTAAGCCCGTGCACCACAACTACTGACCCTGAGCTCCAGAGCCCGCAAGCCACAACTACTGAGCCCGTGTGCCACAACTACTGAAGCCCACATGCCTAGAGCCTGTGTTCTGCAACGAGAAGCCACTGAAATGAGAAGCCCGTGCACTGCAACAAAGAGTAGCCCCTGCTCGCCACAACTAGAGAAAAGCCCGGGTGCAGCAATGAGGACCCAATGCAGCCAAAAATAAATAAATAAATAAATAAATTTATTTAAAACAAAAAACCATGAGCTAGATCTCTATCTATAGACCTGAAGGACTCCACATCATGTAGTAACGGAAAAACGCAAACTGCAGGGTAATGTGTATCATACGATCACGTTTTTTGTAAAGACAAAAACGCAAAACCTTTACCTATGCGTCTGTGTAAGCACTGAGAAGGGAGGAGGGACACACAGGCCCTGGGTACCTCAGAGGGATGGGAATGGCTGAGGGAGGAACCATAACTCCTCTAGACAGTTATGCATCTCCTCACTTCTTACAGTGAGCATGTGATTAAAAACAATATACGAGTTTTAAAAAGGACCAAAGGAAAAATAACAATACAAAGAAGGAAAAAGATCAAAGCATTCTGGATAACAGCACATGTTTTATGGCTCCTAGAAGAGCAGAAGGAACAGTAGGTTTCCTTTGGAAGCGGCCGGATGGCTTACGGGTCCTCAGACCTTGGCCACACCTAGGCCCCAACTAGACCCGGAAGAAGGTTGGGTGGGGGCTTCCTAATTCAGTGAGAGCAGCTGGGGGAAGGATCCCAAAGTGCCCACTACTCAGAGCCCGGCCTGGGCCACCTAGAAGGATGTTTCTCATAACTGAGACCAATTTGAAAAAAATCGTTTGTTTGAATGATCTGGATAAATATCAATACCTCCGACTTCTTTTCAGTTGGGAGAGATACGAAATTCTCTTAAGAGGATGGAGACCATAGTTCCATTACTCTATCTGCCCACTCACAGCATGGTAAGCACTCAAAAGGCTGTCCAGTGATCTTGCTTTGAAGGACCAGATTCTGCACAGTAAGATCCTGCTTGTGACCTGGTGAAGCGCCCCGAAGTAAAGGTCACATGGGCATGAAAGCCTCAGCTGGGTGGGGGCAGCCCGCAATGAACTCTCCCACTAGCTAGCGAATGGTGCGCTGTCACCAGATACTCTTGCTTACGAAGCAGGCCGAGGAGAGGCTTCTGACGGTTAACAGCTTAGCTGAGGGGCGATACCATGACACAGGCCAAAGCCTTTCTACCTGCCCTCGGGCTTTTCACTGCCTGGCCCTGGGGAGTATAGTTAGGAGACACCTTTGTGAGTGCCTACAGGTTAAGTGCTAGCGGGCAGATGGTAGTAAAGGAGACCCAGTCGCCACCCTACTAAGAGAACCTTATACTAGAGTAGAATATATAAGCGCCCAATTCAAATTCGAAGTGAACACTTAGGGCCCTAAATTACATGTGACCTTTGAGGTCTTGTTTGCTGGGCAGTGGTTACGCTCATGCGTCAGATCAGGCAGCTCTAGGTTCGAATCTGCACTCCATCATTCCCTTGTGGTTACTTGACCTCTTTGAACCTGTTTCCTCATCTGTAATCCACAGCCTGGTTGTGAAAATGTGACACACTTAAAGCACTCAGCACAGACCAGGCACTTTAGCGCCGAAGGATGGGTAATTGTCACTATTGCCACCACCATCACGACGATCGATCAGAACAACGACCCCATATTACACACGGCTTGGGTTCCAGGCGGTGGGCACCTGGTAGCCTGACCTGTTTATTTGTGGGGTGGGGAGGGAAGATGGGCTTGGACGTGCCCTTACTCTCGGTAGGGAGCAGGTGGCGCAGGGAGGGTGGAGAGGTCCCGGCTGAGGGCTGTGCAGGGGCGGGAACGAGAGGGATGTGAGGTGGGGATCAGGTGACAGGCAGGTGAGGATCGAACCCATCTGGTGTCCAGGCCTACCCCCCCAGCCCCCGGGCCCCACGTACCCACAGCGCGATGCCCAGGACCAACACCGTACAAAACTATCACCAAGACGTCCAGGGCACTACTGGCGGTGAAGACATGAGCAGTCCAGGCGAGGCCATACCACCGGAAGCCCATGGCGACGCGCCCGGGCGGGCGAGCGCCGCGCGCTTCCGGGAAGCGGCAATGGCCTCTGTGGGGCTCCAGGGGCGCGGCCGCGGGGAACCCTGGGAACAGCCCCGGGGCAGTCTGGGAGCTCCGGGCAGGCCTCGCGCGGCCCAGTTCCCGCATTCGGGGCTCCGCTGCACGAAGGCCGCCGCCATCACCGCCAGTCCCGGCACAACGCCGTCCGTTTGGCGGTCGGAATCGCTTTGCCCTGGACGGAGAGCTGGTCGCGGCGTGGGTCTAGGTCGAGGCTACCGGGGCAGCACCCGTGTCTTTACGAACGAACCACATGAAACCTGAGGCGGAAGAAACCAGCAATACCCCTCCTGTCTTTATTTGTCATTTCGAAATTTTGTGCATTGTGGGTTTGGGGCATTGATTTGGATTTAGTAAACTATTGCATTCGAATATCATGCATCCCGAGTCCTGAGTTTCCTTGGTGCCCTCTCCCCTTAAATTTTGCGCCAAGGAAAGTGCCTCGCTTGCCTCACCCTAATCATGGCCCTGGTTGGACCAACTGGTTACAGAGGCTCCTCAGTTTTCTGCACTTTGATCTTTCATAGGTGATGTGCGAATTTTCAGTCTGGGCCAAGCCTTACTCTCCTTGGTGTGCTTCTCTAATGAGTTGTTAGAAATCTTGGTCAATAATACTAGTAACAATAATAATAGATAACAGTTATATAGCTCTTGCTAGGTGCCAGACCTACTTCTTTTTTTTTTTTTTCTACTTTTCGAACTTGTTTTTTATTGATATAGTTGAACTTTACAACAGTGTCATAAAATACTATAAACAGAGCCTTCAGATAAACAAACAAAAACTAATCTAAATATATTAACCAGGGACATCTCTGGTGGTCCAGTGGTTAAGAATCCGCCTTCCAATGCAGGGGACGCAGGTTTGATCCCTGGTCAGGGAACTAAGATCCCACATGCCGCAGGGCAACTAAGCCTGCGCGCCTCAACTACTGAGCCTGTGTGCCTCAACTAGAGAGCCTGCGTGCGGCAAACTACAGAGCCCACACACTCTGGAGCCTGCGCACCACAACTAGAGAGAAGCCCACGTGCTGCAATGAAGAGCCCACGTGCCACAACTAAGACCTGACACAGTCAGGCAAAAAAACCTTAAAAAAAAAATTAACCAGATTAAAGAAGGCAAAAAGTCCAGTGATAAACACATTAAATAATAATATGCTAATGGTGTCTAATTTACCCACTATCGGTTCTTTACATTGTCACAAAAACAGTAAACATCAATTTGAAGTTTGGTGAATGGACTTGATTCCTGATTTATATTAAGATACTATATACCCTTTGCATGTATATGTACTTTGTGTGTATTAACCCATTTGATTCTCCTAATAAGCAGTCAGTCTGACCACAAGGCAGGAGGCTTGCAGCTGGTCAGAAGTCTATGTTCTCAGCCTCCTGAGCAGAATTCCGTGTCCTAGTTTAGTTCAGTGCTGTCCAAGAGAAATATAATGTGAATCACGGGTGTTATTCTTTTCTACCTTCATTGAGATATGATTGACAAATAAAAGTTGTCTATTTAAGGTGTACAATGTAATGTTTGATACAGGTATACACTGTGAAATAATTACTATAATCAAGCTAATTGAATATCAGTCACCTCAGTTGCCATTTTTTTTGTGTGTAGTGAGAACGCTTGAGATCCCTCTTAGCAAATTTCAGTATACAATACATTATTATTGACTATAGTCACCATGCTGCACATTAAGTCTCTAGAACTTATAACTGAAATTTGTACCCTTTGATTAGTATCTCCCCTTTTTCTCCACACTTTTGCTCCTGATAACCATCCTTCTACTCTCTGTTACTAGGAGGGTTTTTGTTTGTTCGTTTTGTTTTTTTAAGATTTCACATGTAAGTGAGATCATGCAATATTTGTCTTTCTGTGTCTGGTTTATTTCACTAAGCATAATGTCCTCCAAGTTCATCCGCGTTTTTGTAAATGGCAGGATTTCACATTTTTGCATCCATTCATCTGTCCATGGACACTTAGGTTGTTTCCATATCTTGGCTACTGTACGTAATGCTGTAATAAACAAGAGGGTATAGATATCATGTTGAGATAGTGATTTTATTTTCTTTGGATATATCCCCAGAAGTGGGACTATTGGATCATAGGATAGTTCCATTTTTAATGTTTTGAGGAAACTCCATGCTGTTTTCCATAGTGGCTGCAACAATTTACATTCCAATCAACAGTGTACTGGTATTCCCCTTTCTCCACGTATTTGCTGACACTTGTTATCTTTTGACTTTTTTGTTAATAGCCATCCTAACAGGTGTGTGGTGGTATCTCATTGTTATTTTGATTTACATTTTCTTGGTGATTAGTGATGTTGAGCATCTTTTCATATCCCTGTTGACCATTTGTATGTCTTCTTTGGAAAAATGTCTTTTTAGGACCTTTGCCTAATATTTAATTGGGTTGGGTTTTTTTGCTATTGAGTTGTATGAGTTCCTTATACATTTTGGATATTAACCCCTTATCAGATTTATGGTTTGCAAATATTTTCTCCCATTCTGTAGGTTGCTTTTTCATCTTGTTGATTGTTTCATTTGCTGTAAAAATTAAAATTTTCCAGTAGCCACATTAAAAAAGTAAACAGGTGGAATTAATTTAAATAATAAATTTATTAATAGTTAAGCCAATATGTCCAATAAGCCAAAATATTAACATTATAATATACGATCAATGTAAAAACTGTTGGGATATTTTATATTCTTTTTTTCCACATTAAGTCTTTGAAATCTGGTGTATATTTTACAGCACATCTCAATTTACATGCTAACTTTTCATTAGAAATACTTGATTTGTCTTTAGATTTAATAAAATTCACAGTTGAAAAAAATAGATTCACCTACTAAGTTGTTCTACATATACTTGAAAGTTTTCCAGTAGCTGAATATAGTACCAAAATTTACTTTTCCCTTAAGTCAATGATAAAACTAGTTCATCTTTTTAGAAGAATTGATCTGACTTTGAAGCAAAAGACTATCAGTTTCGAAATTATGTCTTTCCAAGTTAAGTAATTCACTAACTCTTGTTGTTGACTCAATATTACTAACATCGAATTCAGAGGCATGGCATAATTTGAAAAGCATTTCTAAATTGATCAATATCGCAAAGCATTCTTCAAATTTTTCTTGGATTTTTTTTGCCACCAATTATATAACATGGCCAGTTAAAATGAAAATCTTTGACATACGGACTCATGTTAGGAGAGTTGTAAAATTATTATTATTGATTCATATTATGAAGTTTTGATTTCAACATAAATTCTTATACTTGGGTAGCTAGGTTACAAATAAGCTTTTCCTTTCTTTTGACTATTCAAATTTTGCTCATTCTTATACGGTGTTTATTAGTGAGAAATATAAGTACAGACTGACATTTTTGGGTCTTTGATTATTGAATATTCAACAAACATTCCTTTTGTTTAAAGAAAATCTTGAATTGCAGCTGACATTACAGTAATTCTTCGTAAAATTTCCCATACTTGGCCAACGGGCATTGGCAAAAGCACATCGTTAAATTCATCACCTATTTCTTTCAACAGTTCCATAACATGGTGATGATTTGTATTATCTGCACATATACACTGAGTGATTTAAACAATGGTACCCATCCATGATGTTTTACATAAAGTCTGCTATAAAAACTAAGCACAAAATTTTATATGTATCACACAATTGAATAAAGCAAGGGAAACTCCATTAAATCTGGAGTTTTAACCTGAACACAGGTAGAACAGTGTCTGTCATGATATCAATAAAAAACCTATTTTTTCCCATAGTTAGCTGAAATTCTTCTTTGATAAATGTCAAAGGTTTAAAAGATCTGTGCCACAAGTTCAATCTTTTAGGTCACTAATTGGCAACATTTCTTCATAGGTTTGGATGTCCTTTGATACAAAAAGTATTCAAAATATTAACTGGGTAGGGTCTCACATGACTCAAATAAAGCTACAGAGAGGTACCTGTGAATTGTCAACTTTCAAATCCATTCATCTTTGGTATCGTTGGAAAGACTTTGTATTCTATGGGCAATTGTTTTGAGGCTTAATTTAAAAATCTTTCCCTTTTTGTAAAATATCTTTTTTATAGCATTTTCCTCCTAATTTTCTAACAAATGTCCACAACTGAAATAATTCCTTTGGTCATCTTTCCATCTAAGTTGTTTTTCTTTTTAGTGTAAGAATCCAAGCTGTTTTAAAGCTGGCCAAAGTTACAAACTCAAATTCTGTTAAAAATCATTACAATTGGTTTTGGACATTTATTTCTGATTCCAGGCAACTAATTTTATAATTTTTTCTTAACCACTGAGAGGGAACATTTTTTAATATCAAATTCACTATGTAGTGGTTAAAAATTTGTCTTAATATTGTTCACTTTATTATCTTTCTTTTTTACACACCCAACAAATAGATCTACCATACCATGATGCATAAACATTATGTCCTTTAGATGAATTGATTCCTTTGTTGTTATGAAATGACCCCTTTTGTACCTGGCAATATTCTTTGCTCTGAAGTCAATTTTTATTTTATTTATTTAATAATTTATTTATTTTATTTTTGGCTGTGTTGGGTCTTTGTTGCTGCGTGCGGGCTTTTCTCTGGTTTCAGGGAGCAGGGGCTACTCTTCATTGGGGTGCGCAGGCTTCTCACTGTGGTGGCTTCTCTTGTTGTGGAGCACAGGCTCTAGGAGTGCTGGCTTCAGTAGTTGCAGCATGCAGGCTCAGTAGTTGTGGCACACAGGCTTAGTTGCTCCGCAGCATGTGGGATCATCCTGGACTAGGGCTCGAACCCGTGTCCCCTGCATTGGCAGGAGATTCTTAACTATTGTGCCACCAGGGAAGCCCCAATTTTTATGTTAATATAACTACTTCAGCTTTCTTTTGTTTGGTGTTAGCATGGTATACCTTTTTCTATCATTTCATTTTTAACCTATTTGTACAGTTTAATTTAAAGTATATAGATTTCTTATAGCTAGTATATAGTTGGGTCCTGCTTTTATTTAATCATATAATCTTGACTTTTAATTAGCACATTTAGACTACTTACATTTAATGTGAATATTAGTGTGGTGGTGTTTCAATATATCATCATGCTATTTGTTTTCTATTTTCTTT